CGGTCTTCAAGTAAAGACAGAGATTTTTTTCAAATAAAATTAGTTCTTTGAATAAGATCATGTACATTTTTTTTTATTTTTTAGTAGTTTTCGCACAATATTACGTGAAATAAGTTCAAATTTAAAAATAACAAAAAACATTTTTTCTCGAAATTTCCTAAAGCAATTGGTAGGGATAGTGCTAAATGTACGCTATGAGATGACAAACGCCATTTATTTTCTTTTGCTTTTTCAAAAATTACTATCATGTAATTTTTTAGACTAGCCTCTCACGTCGTTAATTATTACGTTAGAGGCATTTTGTTTACACTATTGCACTCATGAGTGCATGTGCTTACAATGCTGACTAATAAAGTTTCTTGACAATTCAATAGTTTTCTGCGAAAATGATCTCAAAATTTCGCAGATATGCACAAACGCCATTTCCTCAAAAAAGTTCCAAATTTTTTCTTTAAACTTTTCGTACGGATAGTGCTAACCGCACTTTTTAAGATGACATTATGCTTTCGATTTTTCAAAAAATACACAAATGTATTTTTCTAATATCTTTCACTCCGTTAATATGCACATTTCCAGCGTTTTGTTTACATTATTGCATTTGTAAGTGTAAGTACTTAAATTAACTTGCAATGAATTTTTTTTTTTTTTTTTTGAAAACTCGTAAGATTCCTGTGAAAAAGATCTAAAAATTTCGCATTCACACTTGAGCTTAAACGATTTTTTCTTAATAATTGTTCTAGATTATCCACGAAAATTTCCATATAGGATGTTTTACCCTTCATTAAGAGTAATATTTTGAATCCACTATTAATAAACCGAAAAGTTGAGAAAACTTCAAAAAATGCACATTGGTTGGCGATGGATGGCAGCTGGCAAGAGGATGAAGCTAGAGAGAGTGACCGAAAAAATTAGAAACTCAAGTTGTTCGAGAAAGTTTGTGCTATTCTTTAGCACCACTAGTTACTTTCTTGTATACTTACGTATATATGAAGTAATATATATATATATATATATATAATATATATATATATATAGTGAAAGAATTGTAAATATATAATAGTGAAAAAGTTATGTCATGCTGCGTAAAATCGATTTCGAGATTTCAACGGAAATACAAGTTTTGGGGTTCCCTGATACCAAAAAGTATTGGTTTGCTTTTGTTTTTCAGAACGTCCGTCTAGCCGTCTGTCCGTCCGTTTGTGAACACCACTAGCGTCTAAAACATGCGTATGATTTTTTTTTTCAAATTGAAGAAACACGTGTCCACCTGGCTCGAGTCGAAGCTTTGAAATTTTGAAAAGCATTCTTTGAAATTTGGAGGTACTATACGTGAAGCCCTTTGGACATTTCAAAAATTTCTCAGAAAAGTCTCTAATTTACTTCTTTAAAATTCTTGTAACAATACACTTATAAATGTGGCAGAGGTCCGATTTACACTGCTAACTCTAAACTTCCGATAATTGCAAAATATTAAATACTTTTCGGCGTCTTCATACAACTACACAATTGAACCTTGAGATTTTCCTTCAAATTAAATTTATTGTCCCTAATTAGTTCTTTCATTAAGGTACTGTACATTTTTTTAAACTTTTGGCAGTTTTCGTGTAATATTTACATGTATAAAAAAAACAAAAAAAGATTTTATCAAAAACTGCTCCAAATTTTTTCTTTAAACGTTTTGTACGATAAGTACTAAATGCACTTTTTAAGATGATGTAAACTCCCTATTGCTCTTATCTTTTGCATTTTCAAAAATAACAAAAATTTAATTTTTTGACTTGTCTCTCACGTCGTTAATGTTTACATTAGCGGCAGTTTGTTCAGATCATTGTATTTACAAGTACACGTGCTTTAAATAATGTCATATAAAGTTTCTGAGCAGTTTTTTGTGAAAATGAGCTCAAAATTCCGCATTTTCAGAATCGCTCAACACGCAATTTTCTCAAATATTGCTACAATTTTTTCTTGACACTCTTCTTACGGATAGTGCTAATTGCACTGTTTCATATGGCATAGAGCTTATTTTGCTATATTCTTTTCTTTTTTCAGAAATTACACAAATGTAACTATTTTGAAATATTCCTCACGTCGTTAATAGGCACATTTTCAGCAATTTGTAAACACTTTTGCATTTCTGAGTTAAAGTAACTCAAATAAGTCTCAATGAAGTTTTTCAAAAACTCAAGCATTTTTTGTGAAAAATAACTTCAATCTCGCATTTACAGTAACGCAAAAACGCCATTTTCATAAAAACTGGTCAAATTGTTCATTGAAAATTGCCATTTATGACGAGGTTTTACTCTTCTTTAATATTTTAAAGAAATATTTCGGCTTTTATATTCAAAAACCGAAATATTGAGAAGTCAAACAATTGTACATTGAGCGGCGATAGATGGCAGCTGGCAACAGGATGGGCCAAACCGTAAAGCCAGAGAAAAAGTTATGTAATGCTGCAGAAAATTGATTACGAGATTTCAAAACTAGCCAAAATAGCTGAAAATTTCGCATTTTCAGAAACACTCAAAAGCTCTTTTCTAGAAAACGGCTCCAATTTTTTTCTTCAAACTTTTCGAAAGTATAGTGATTATTGCACTCTAATATGACGTAAAGTTCAATGCGTGTATTTTCTTTTTCCAAAAATTAAACAAACGTAATTTTTTGATAGATATCTCACGCCGGTAATACGCAAATTTCCAACAATATGTAATTAGTAAGTTAAAGTACTTTAAATTACTTCAAATGAAGTTTTTAGGAAACTCAAATCATTTCGGTGAAAATGTGCTTCAAGTTTCAAATTTACTGTAGCTCTTAAGCGCCATTTTCTTAAATACCGCCCCATATTTTTTTAAAGAAAATTGCCATTTAGGGCGAGGTTTTACTGTTATTTAATATTCTTAGAATAATATTTCCGTTTTACTATTACAAAATCGAAAAATTAAGAAAATTTCAACAACAAAAACGTAGTTTGGTCGGCGACAGATGGCAACATGCAAGTTCGAATACCTAGCGGAGACTGAAGGAAATAGAAAACTAATAGGGGAAGTCTGTGCCATTATATAACACCACTAGTTTTAAATTTCTCTCACACATTTAATATGCACATTTCCAGCGATTTGTGAGTGGAAGTGCTTCATATGACATCCAATAAAGTTTTCAAAAACTCAATATAATTTTGTGTAAAAGAGCTTCGAGAATTCGCATTTATAGTAATGCAAAAACGCCATTTTCTTAAAAACGGCTCCAAAGTTTTCAACGAAAATTTCCTTTTATGACGAGGTTTTAATTTCCTATAATATTCTTAATGTAATACTTCGAATCTAGTATTAGGACACCGAAAAATTAAGAATTATTTAAAAAATGTATTTTGGAGAGGTGGCAGCAAGAAAGACTATGTGGCAAAATAGTAATGTTCGCCCAGAGCAAAGAAATTAGAAAACTACCTAGTACGAGAAAGTATTTGCCATTCTGTAGCACCACTAGCAGGTAAATGAGAAGATATTTGTTACAATTCTGCAACTATTACTCCATTTGTTGGGGACCAGCCGCTACTGGTTCTCTCAGCGAATGTAAGGGGGGGGAGGCAGGATAAGTAAAAGAAGAGGACAAGATCGCGCGCGGTACGTGGCCCGTTTGTTAGGTTACTGCTCCGGCATTCGCCTAATGTTGATCGGATAAACCACAGAAAACCACCGATCAGAGCAGCCGGCCGCTAGAATTCGAGACAGCGGCTGAATTCGACCTGGCTGACAGTGTCGCTAATGTTGAAAATCCTGCCACCGCCAGGACTCGAACCTAGGACATCCCAGTCAGAGGCACTGCAGCCACTTCTCCCGGAGGGACGAAGGAAATGTTGACCTCCACCAACTCAGAAAAAATTCATTATCTGTTCGCGGCCCGCCCTTTGCGGGACTTCCTCCACAGCGTGGCGCGCCATGGTAGCCCGCCCGCAGTTTGACCCGTATTATTCATGACACAGAAATAAATAATATGAATTCGACCGAGCTCGGCGTGACGGACCCTTTACATTCTTACACAGCAAAGCTTCACGAAAAAAAAGAAGAGTAGCAGTATACCAGATCCATTATTAGCCATTATTATCCATCCAGCATTATGCGTCTGGTATACTGCAACTGTTCTTTTTTTTCGTGTTGGCAACAATAACTCATTACGTACTAAGTAGGTTGATTGATTGGTTGATTGGCGACACGTCAACTGCTAAGGTCATTAGTCGCGTAAGTGCAAAACGTTTTTATCGCTGGAAGTGATATTCCCTCGCGGGCTGGCGAGATCCGGCGCTGACCTAAATTTTCGGCGGAGATTTTCCTCAACCAGATATCTCCCACCAGCGTAACAGCGTCCCCGCCGGGACAAGCTCGAAGCTTCCGACAAGCGTGGTAGTGTAGTGCATGTAAGTATTAGTGCGTGCAAGTAAGGGGCGAAAATAGGATGAGGAAGGTAAAGGCAAGATCGCTTACGGCCCGTTTGACAGAGTACTACTCCGGTGTTCGCTTCGAGCTTATCGGAGAATTCGTCCAGATAGCGGCTGATCCCGACTAGCGTCGGAAATCCTGCCACCGCCACTCGAGTCTTGCCGAAACTCGAACCTAGGCTCCCCACCCCCCGTTCAGAGCACGGCAGTGACATCAATTGATGCCCTGAGCCACCTCTACCAGGACTTTATAGATGTTGAAACTATCTTACAAATTATTGTTCAAGAAACAATTATAATTTAAAATCCATAGAGAAAACAGAGTTTACATCTTTCCTGGTCTCTCGGAACTCTGATGCAAATTTGGTAACAAATTATCAATTTAGAAGAAGTTAACTGTTAGTTCTGTTTTGATGCAAAAGTACTATAGAAGAATTGTCATTTAGAACATATGGACATAAATGAAACTGCTAATCCTCTGTTTATTAGTGAGAACAATAGTTTTATTCATATAGGCCTTTCTGATTTTTGTAGCATTGAGGTACTCTCAATGAACAAGTAACACACAGTATTTCTAGATTCATCTCCACTCTACTTTCATTTATTAAGTCTTTATTTTGTTAATACACAACCAATACATACCAACATACAAATCAATGTACATACATTCTCCCTAGACCCAATATTTACTTCATCAACTTTACAGACAAGTGTACATTCATTATTTACAGGGTAGAAAAATCAGTCACAACTGCACTTAGGGCACACTACTAAATACAATAGTTCTTACTTCCTTCACATACACCTGGTAAAATTCTTCCACCATAAATCCATAACTTAGCTCTTGTTTACTTCAATATGAACTTCCAATAACATCTGAATGGAAAGAGCCCAAATGGTATTGCCAATGATATCAACAGCTACATAAATGATTTTCTTTTTCTAAATATTAAAACGTAAAACATTTAAAAAGGATCCTTTTCCTTTTGTTAATTTCACATCTGAATTGCAATGCATACAGTGTTCCATACAGCATATAAGTAATTCTTGAAGAAGAAAATGAAATTTTAAAAACACATAAAAACTTCACGAAATAAAAATTAATTAAAATGTCAAAGAAATTATTTTCAGGCTCATTATTCTATCACAAAATCCACATTATCTTCAAATATATTACAAGACTTGATCATAAAAGTTTGTGAAACACTTGAAAATTTGAGTACGTTTTTGTTCATAGTATACAAATTGCTTTTGTTCACTTTGCACAAATTGAAGGTATATTTGGATTAAAAACTTTGAAAAATATGAAACATATGAAAAATATTTTAACATTTACCTAAAATGTTCACATTTAGCCATAATAACACAGACAGAAAATGATTCTATGTATAATTAGGAAATAAGATAGAACCATGGGAGGACATTAGCATATTCAGAAAAATATAATTACCTGCATAAAAAAGAAAAAAGGAAATACCACACTGAAAAATATGGAATTATAATATAAAATAATTGAATAATGGCAGTTCCCAAAATTTGCTGCCATAATATACTGCAAAACTGACTAAATAAAACAAAAAAAAAGTTCATTAAATTATTAAAATTATTATTATAGCAAGTGTTGAAGGCATGGTATCGTAAAAAAAATTCTCATAAAATTAAATATTGAATTAGTCTTTAAAAAAAATTTTCTTGATCAAGAATATTCTGTATATTCTCCGTCATTTGTTTATTTTATGGAAGTGATATAAGAAAAACAAAAGTTTCGGTTCAACTAGATAACAATTGCTTGAGCATTCGTACAAGTACAAACTTATCATATTCATGAAAACCAAGCTACAGTGTTTCTATTTATTTCCTTAAAAACAATTTATCTAAATATAACACTGTTTTCACTCCACAATTCTGTTGTAAATCCCATGAAATGTTCACAGAGATGACATTCTATAATCTCTGACCAACATTTTGTCTATAAGCAGCAATAATGTGCACCAAATTTAACAATTGTAATGAAAAAGAATCCATCACATGATATAAAAGTACAATATAAATTAATATCTCACAAGTTCTGCTTGAGCATCAAGGTACTTGGTAGGAATACAAAAAAATTTAGTTTTGAAAATACCATAATGATTTTTTTTAAATTACATATACTCTAACTCATTTTGCAAATTCAAAATTAGTGAGGTGAAAAGTGAGTAATAATTGCATTTAAATTGTACATGAAAGGACAATAATAACTTCCTATTGAAAGTAAATGTACAAACAAACAAAACCAAATCCAAGAAAATATGAAATTATCACTCCTGTATTTTAGAACAACAATCACAAATAAATATTTGTAACCCCATATGTTTTATATCTGAAATTAAAAATTTCAAACCAAATAACAAAAATATTATCATAATAAATATAGTTCAAACAATTTAAAAAAAAAAAAAACAGTTAAAGAAATTTAAACAGTAATAACAAAAAACAAATTGTGGTCTGATATACAAAAGTCTGAGAAACATTATAAAATATTAATCTGAAATACTTTTTTCCCAGCACTAAACTACATCTTTAGTATTTAAAATAACAAGCGTCACATTGTACCTATATCTAAAATTAACTGTGAAACATCAAGCCAAAAAATGTGCATGGAACTCATATCAAGTATGAAGAACATAACAATTATCTGCATTTTTCAACATGTATTCAACACAGAAAAAACTAATCAACAAAGAAATCAGGATAGAATGTTAAAAATATTTTAAATGTTACAAGGGTTAGTGGGACTAACATGGTTGTTAAAAAGATGTGATAATAACAGTATTACATTTGGCTGTTGTGGAATGCATGGAATTGAACCAGACAGTAAGATATCTCATTGAATGTTCCGTAAATAACAGGTAGTCTCTTCAATAAAATGCGTTTTGCTCATTAAAATTCTTTTCACAAACATTGTGAAGCTTTAATCAAAATTTTGTTTTAATAATTTAATGAATGAAAGGTTGCAGATAAAACTCCACAGTACAAACAATAACCAGATATTTACTTTATTAAGTAATCTTAATTGTGATGTTTTTATTAATTACAATTGTCAACTCAGAACATTTTATAAAACACTGATATAATGGAAATTAATTTTGAACCAATCTAATACAACAGATTTGTTTCCAAAATATTGCCAATTAAAAAGTTGCTTTTAGAGAGGAATATTCACAGTAGTATCGAAGAGCATGATAAAGGTACCTGCACAATTCACAAATTCAAAACCACAATGAATTGCACAATTCAATTCAAACTGTAAGATGCTTTGTTAGAAATATCTTTTTTAATTAAATTTAAATCTTTAAACAATAGACAAATGCTTCTTTATATTGTAATAATAGAATTAATCTTTGCTCATTAGAAGGAAAAAAATCATTTCGAAATTATTTTCACTAAATTCAGAGGAAAGAAAAACCATCAGGGTATTCATCCAAAACCATCTGCTTGATAACCATTTGGTTCTTCGTATTTCTACAAAAAACAAATACTCTTTTCAGCTGTTTGTAAACACAGTGCAAACAAACAAACGAGTATGTAAACATAAGGCATGTTGACTCAGGACCAAATAATACCATAATAAGACCAAAATAACAATATTTGACACATTTCAAATTAAGAGATTACACAGAACACTAAAAACAAATCTCTGAAAACCAAAAACGGGCAAGAACCATCTCAAACTAACATTTAAATATTAATTTTTTACAGAATAAATCATTCATGAGAATATACATCAATATGTTTTACAACTAATAAATACGAATAGCCAACATCCAAGAAGTAAAAGAATTGGAACTGAGCATTTTTCAATACTTCAGAAACAATGAAGACAAACAACACCAATTTTGCACTACATTGCAAGTACATAATATAAAGGAAACTAATTAGATAAGTTTTGCTAACTTATAGAATCAGTTACAAAGAACCAGCTAAATAACAAAGCAAAAAATGAAAAGGAAAAAGAAACGTGGGGTGGGGGGAGTATATGTGAGCTTGTTTGCCATACTATTGAATATTTTAATAGGAATTACCAATACCTACAAATTCAAAAGTTCTTCTACAGTATACATCAGAATAAAATACATGAAAAATCATTTAGGATGGATAGGTTCCAATTGCAAAAATAACACAAATAAATCTTTCATATATTTATCAAAAAAGCTATTCAATCTGATGCAATCATTTTTACAACATTCCTTTTGTTATAACATTCTTCTCACGAAAGATTAAAAAATTCTTAACATATATAATATTTCCTATCACTCGCATGGAACGGTCAACTCACTGGTCAATATTTCTACACAACCGTATGAAAAAACAAGTCAAAACCTAGCAATAAATAAGTGTTCAGTAAATTTTACATAGACTGAAAATCCTATGTGTTTCAGGGAAAGAAAATTCATAGTTGAGTATGTCCTAGAAATATGTTCTCTCTATATTTGAAAACTCATCAATTGTATAACATGATTTAGAGCATCAACTAATGAATATCAATGTCACAGCCATTTTTTGATATTGTTAACATGTGAGATCTGACTCTTCAGATATACAATTTCAAACTTCAAGTGCACGCCTGAAGCAGATGGATTATGATGACACCTCATAGCATATCATCTTTCACTGTTTGGATTAAATTGGCTATGGCCAACCTAAACAAATTTAGTTAAAAATTATAGAAACAATCATTAACAGCACGTTTAAAATAACATACTTCCTTAGGTACCTTTATCTTATCTTCTGAGCAAGCGTAACTATTATTAATGAGGGTATCTCTTCTTTGATAACTGGGCTGAATTATGAGGTGCAGAAAACTGACTAACATCAGCTGGGTTGAACATGAGTGGAGCACCGAAAGACTGCTGAGTTCTCTAAAACATTTAAGAAAAATAACACAATTTTTTAATTGATTAAATATTGAACTGAAATCATCATCACTGGTATTATTAATTAAAAACTAATATTAATTTCAGAAGCTGTGAAAAAACAAAAACCTTAATAAAAATGCCAATCTTATTTCCTTTAATAACAATAATAATAATGACAATCATAAAAGTAACATATGTTGATATTAGCATTATTTTTCTATTTGACTTCTCTTTTCTTATATTATCATCATAATCATCATCATCATTATTATTATTATTATTATTATTATTATTATTATTATTATTATTATTATTGTTATCATCACCATCATCATCATCATCACGGTTTTAGTAATCAGAAAAAGCCATATCGAATCTCAAGGAAAAGGTTAATTGGTTTAGAGAAGACTTGTCATTTTGCATAAACAGCTAAAATTTAAATTCTTATCAAATACAAAATGAAAGTACAGTTGATTCCTATTATGGTGAACTTCTGTGTACTATTCTATTACAGGTCTTCAAGATTGATTTTCTCATTGCAAAGATTCAGTAAAAAAATTCAACCACTCCAAATTTGACATTTCAACATATTCATTTAGCCTCATAATATTCATTACTTCCGTAGTTTATTATTAACACTTTTTGAAGATTCTTCTCCAAAGTCTGGGCTTTCTCGATACATAAATATGCAATGTCCACACACACACACAACATATTTTGGTAGCCTCAATACTCTTGAAGGACTTTTGTCCTCTTGGAAGACATATTTCTTTGTATCCTTTCTGACATCACACTCATTTTCTTCTGTTCTGGAAGAAGTAGACTTTCACTGCGTTAACAAAATCCTAGCAATATAGGATTTCACAAGTTTTTATCACAGTCAATTCATCCTGTTGGGCACAGTCCTCACAGATGTGCTGCAACAATTTCTACACTGGTATGTTCTTTTAGTTCCTTTCATTCCCTGTAAATGCTACAAAAATAACTCACAAGACCCTTCACCGGCAAACTCTTAATGGAATTCATGGTCCTGACGAGAAGTATATTATTTCCACATGTTCTATTTAGAGGGTTCTGTATACTTGAAGTGGAGAGTTCACTACAACCGAATCACCTTGTGTTTATTTGTAAGTGTGTGAAATATAACCAGTTTGTTCACTGTCACTGTTAACATTTAGTAAAAAGAATTCTAGGAACAAAACTACAAACATTAGTTTCTTATTAGCTTTAATATTACTATTTCACTTTACATTTACATACCACACATTTCTGAGTTAATTATGTTGTTAAAATTTTCTAAAAACATATAGATTTGATTGACAGTTCTCAAACTTCTTGCTCATGAAATCGGCAGTTGTGTCTGAGAATCCATTTGCTGGTGATTTCTAAAACATTTTTGGAAACAATGCTAACACTTTGAAATATTACTAGCCATCATTTTCACATAAGAAAATACTGAATATACTTACTATGGAATAAAGTAAATTGTTTCATTTTTGTATTTAACATAACTAATTATACATTATTATATTAATATTCATTTAATAATTCAATCCAATTAAAAAACTAACAGGTAAAAGAGCAATGAGTGTATCAGGTATTTCAAAATTAATAACATAAGAAAGCATGACAACAGTGGAAAAAATATTTTTTGAGATTAAGCACCACTTGGCGTAAATCCAACATCCTAAAATTTAATCAGAACTTTGAAAGCTATTTTCTCAGAACAGCCCTATCATGTATAAAGAAACCTATGCAGCATCCAACCACGTGAGAGGTCTCCTATGGTTTCATTAGATGTCTAGAAACAAAGAAACAGCTTCAATTTTGACTGAATAAAAAATAAATATTTGATTCTGATATTCCACCTATTCTCGTCATACTGACAAATTGCAATTACCAACTAAATTCTCATAATCAGAGTACGACAGTTTACAACACAGCTTATGTGAAAGCAAGGCTCTAAGGAAGAGGCCATCTGCCATTACATAATTTTTATTTTCATGATGCATAATAGAACAGCAACATTTTTGATATTCTTGTTATGTAAAGAACAATTGTAATGTGTACATTATTTTATTTTATTGTAGTATTCAAGAACACTTTTTTAAAAATGTTTAATTAATTATTAAAAATATATTAAATATTTTACTAAATTAATTAAATTTAAAAAATAATTAACTAATTTGTTACAGTGTTATAAAAGAACATTTTATTTGTTGTGAAGCAGTGATGATGATACTTTTTGGAAAACCGTTTTGTATGATTTTGTGAAGCAGTATTTTTACTGCCGCCAAGCTACTAGTGTTCATTATTTTGAAAATGTTTTTCATGGAAATATAAACATTTTCTGATTTTTTCCCTAACTTTTTCAGAGAATAACAGTCCGAAATTCTCAGTTTTCCACGTTTGTTGACAACTGTGTTTCCAGATCAACTGCCTACCCAAAAGCCTAGTGCAAGTTTATTCAAATTCAATTTTAAATGAAAATTATTCTTCTGAGGAACACACATTGAGAACTGTTATATTAAAGACACCATTACACAGTCAGTACACATGCACATGCACATGCACATGCACATGCACATGCACTGTCTCCCACGCACATGCAAACATCATGCACATACACCCAACTGAAATTATACATGAAAAATTCATCTTGTAAATTGCTTTGGAACTTCTTTTTTGTGAAAATGTCCTTGTTACAATTGCTCTAGTGTAATTTTAAACAAACACCATTTGTAAATACAAAACTTACTTAGAAGAACATCTGATTTATTACTATACATACACAACATAATGTAATTTACCTTGTTCTGTAAAATTTTCTCATTGCCCAATCTTAAGGGGCCAGTATTTTTACTGCATTAGACAAGATTCCACATGATACAAATAATGCAAGACATTAGCCACAACCAAAGTTTCTGTTGACATTGGACAGATTTCTGCATTATACTTGTTCTCCATTGACCAATTTTTAATGTGTATTCGCAAATAGTATTTAATAATTATTTTCTAAAAGACCCATTGTCTCTACCTATTTTCTTTGTTTACTAGAACTAAAATAATGTTCAATTTTTCCATTACAGAATTATCATCACTTGAATTCTTTTTTTTTTATCCCAAAAATATAAGAAGCTAAAAGTTAAAAGTTCTGGGAGCTAATAAACAAGAACAAATTATTTCTTGCGGACAATTCATCTTTTCAAGTACTGAGTGAAATTCTGCATACCGTTTTCAAGCACTGAACACTGAATAGAAATTAATCAGTTTCATCATTGATCAAGTTAAAATGGAAATCTTATGATATTACCATATCACTGCATCATTTTAACTAACAGATACCCAAATGAATAGTCTACTACTTTCTCTTTTGATGCAGGATATTCAATAAGTTATAAAATCTTATTAATGATGATTAAGCATTCTCCATGCAAACAGTAACAATGTATTGAGGAAAAGAAGGTGATCTCATTTAACAGAAGAAGAACATAGGTAAGAAGAGCTGGCGGTGATCAAAATTTTATGTTACAGTGCATTAGCAATTTTTGAAGTATTACCTTTAGTATAAACTACATTATGTCAATTGTTTCACTACAGTTTTATGTTTTATATTAATTTTGTTTGAGATGATCTGTTCTTCTGATCACAAACAAAATAAAATACAAAATAATCACAAACAAAATTCTCAAATTTGAAATCTACAGAAGTTACCAAAAATAAACTAACATTTAAGCCCAGGCAAATAATGACTACTTTCACTGCAGCTTATTTCATCAAATTCATCAATTGAAAGAAGTGTTTTTGCAGTTCTTTTGGGATCCTCACTGTAGTTATATATGCAACTGTGATATGTAAGAAAAATTCAATTAAACGTAATCGAGAAAAGAATGTAGGAAGACATTTACAAATCTTAATTATTTTTTCAAAAGTAATTTGAAAAAATAATTAAGATTTTTTAACACATATGGAAACATCGGTTAACAGGCACCAAGTGAAATTGGTTTATGCAATAGTAGCAGACAAGAGTGGGCGGCGAGGGTGTTAACAGTCATAATGGCTTCCTCCCTGACCTTCTATCCCTCGATGGAGTTTTGTTTACTTCTGCTGAAGCAGCCAGCATTGAAGGGGGGTTTTGGATATGGCGGTCTGTGAGACTGACTCTCTTCTCATATTTTTCATAGCAGTACATGAGACCGTTTGTTTCTCTTTGTGTGCAAGTGGTCTGTGAAACAAACTTTCTCCATGTACACTCTTTAGCGACTTTCTCAAATGTTTATTTGATATATTTACTTTCAAAATATGTATCGTTCGCCCAATTTGTTTGGACAATCGCAGGTCACGATCAGTAAAAAAATTACAACCCTTCTCAAGCTTCATGTATGCAAACCTATTGAAGGATCTAACAGGAATGTCACTTTAGATAATTTATTTAGTTCTGAAGAAGTTATTGATGAATTCATGAAGAGAAAATAACTTACGTTGGGGAAGTCAAAAAGGAGAAAAATGATTAATGAGGAACTTCTTGCTAGCCCACGAAATCCAGTTGGATCAACGCAGCACGAATTTAGAGGATGAACTACGCATATTAGCTTCGTGATGTTCCAAGTGACCGAATGGCCAAGAGAAAAACTTTGAAAAACCATGTACATGGTCATAAACTGCAAAAAAGCAGTTTGCTTAAATTAAGCAGTACAAAATTTTGACGAGGTGTGTTTCTTTGCATTATAAAAAACATGTTTCCATAAACGTGACAAACAATATAGAAATGAAAAAAATTATTAAAACAATTTATTGAATTAAATGCGACTGCACAATTCTACTCAGAAAGAATATACAAAAAACAACAACAACAAAAAATTCAGTTATTTTCATTCGTTTTTAAAACCACATTGCATGCATGACTTCCGAGAGACCATACACCTGGAGGTTTAAATTAATTTAAGTCAGGGTTAGGGAGAGAGAAAAGAAAGAAAGAAAGAAAGAAAGAAGGAAAGAAAGAAAGAAAAGGAAAAAGTTATTTGAAGAAAGAAAAGAAATAAGAAAACAATCCAGTGGGTATTTTGAAATTTATTTGTTTGCTATTATTGGTTGTTTGTTTTTTTTAATTTTTTTTATTAAGTTCATGCCGTAAATCAAAATATCAAATACTGATTTTCATCATTCGACTAATCAAATCGAAATATATTCAGTACTGCCAAGTAGGTATGGAATATCCATATCCATATATGAGTATGGAATATCCATGGGCTAACCTATTGTCAGTTTTAAGATTCTAAACACATTACAGGTAACATAGATGTTTGTTAATGTTATTATCTTGGGACAATAAAATAACAATTTGTAACCTGTAACAAAGTTACAAAACAAGTTAACATTTTAACATAAGTTTAATTTGTACATGAGTAGCCTTTGTATTTATTTTTAAATGTTTGTTGTAATGTATTTTTGAGCTTTCAATTCTAGCACATGAAGTTTACATGTTATTGACAGTTTCCTTTATTTTGTACTTATGTAAATTTTGTTATGTTATTTCAAATAACTCAAAAAAATCATTAAAACATCTAATTACATATTATAGTGGGGTTTTACGAGTTTTCAAGTACTTTAAACTTTTTTTTTTAACCAAGGTGTGGTTTTTGGGCCCCGAAAAATTTAGCCTACTCTGATCCAAGAAATATTTTAAACCAATTTATTTAAGTTCTAATATGTTAAAACCAACATTGAATATTGAAGTTTCCAGAAATCTGCAAAGCCATTGCCTTCAATAAAACTTTTTTTTAGAGCAAGTTTGCTCTGCGGTTTGTTTAAACCACAACTATCGATACAAAGGCAACAGATTGGCACCTATTGCTCCAAGCTATCTTTTCTTTCTTTTTAGAGTACCATACATTTCAAAGGAGATCAAAGTCACTAGTTGCGAATCATGGGGGGGGATGTTACAAAAGGAACTAGTATTTAACGAAATATTACAAGCACCATGAAGCCCAATAAACCCTTCTTTCAATCATTTCTCAAGACAAATAACCAAATCAAAGTGACAACACTCCTTACTTAAGCACTTACATAGTATTTTTGCAACAACAAAAATCACACAGAACTTCCAACACAAAATAGAAATGCAGTACATGCCTACTTCATGCAATTTCTCTTATTTCAAATCAATTCTTCCTATCTCAAAATAACCATTATCCTCAGCTGAACACACATATGCTCATGCTTTCATACCCATACTCAAAATAACAGAAATTACTTTTTTTCTGAATCATTTTCCCTCCCCAAAGTTGCAATGTTGCAATGCCATCCACAATATATTAAGATCAAAGAAAATCACACAATAAAGAAAACAAAACAGCTGATACAAAGAATTAATTCTCTTTGATGCATCAGAAAGTTCTCATGATACTGGGAACTTAATATCATATACATAATTCACAACATGCCAGAAAATCTGAGTTGTTTTAACTCTAATTTATGAAAGAGAAACACCAAGCCTAACTGGAAACCTACACACTAACTAATCATTGTTGCAACATCATGCATTGTGTAAAAGAATATCGTGAAAAATCACAGTTTATACCCTAACAAATATCTTCCTAAGAAAATGATTATCTTCAATTAATATTTGTACAGCATAATATTTTTATAATTCAATATTTTACATTTTCTTGCAATTTTAACATTTACTAAATTTTCTCCAATGCATAGACACCATGTTCAAAAAAGAAGGTTCTTCAAGATAGAACATACTTATTATTTTTGCTTTTGTTTTGAATAATAAAATTGAAAACATGAAGATCTTATGAAGGCCAATTATATTTTTATAAACACAAATTTTTAAATTCAAAATTCATTTGATCTAAAATATTTTCTTCTTGTTAACTTCTGTGTTAGCAGAAATATAATATTCTTAAATGGTTAGATATTAATTATATGTCTCCTATCTTAGCAATAGATGCCTACAACTACAAGCTCTCTGAATACAGAAACGAGGTCTTGTCCAAAGGAGTTTTTCCCATTTTTGACAATGAACATTACTATTCTGATGAGGCTCACCAATGTGTATTTGTATCAAAGTGAAATATGTTCTTTACAACTTTAATTTATGGGGAGTAATTTTTTAATACAATATCATAATTTTCAATAATGCTGAAATTGGATCCCTCAAATTAGTCTCAAATGTCAAATATTTCCAATCATTTACTTTGCAGGACTTTTCTGTTTTATCAGTTTGTATTATTCTCAGCCAATGGAAGATTAACTGTGTCCATCCATTCAATGTGCATTGTTTGTTTTAAGATATTCACTTGCAGGTGGTCTCCTTTCATTGAAGATGATCAATTAACAAATATTTGTGTTTCTGAAGTAATGGTGTATGCTAAAACTGTAAATCTATTCTTATTGTTGCAAACAATTATCAAATCACCTATGGATTTCAAAACACAATTTATTCTAATACAAGTTTTCAATCAGGAATGTTATTACTAGTATTTGGTTTGGTCTACTTTATGTGCATTAATGCAATGCTCTTTGTTACTGCCCATGCTGTGTGTATGTCTATGCACATATGTAAATACGTGACATAAAATATAATGTGTATTCTCTCTTAAATGAACAACTGAATTGTCTAAAATGAAACTATAATTTTGCACTGCCTTCAAAGCTCACCCCCACAATTCTTTTTTGTTTTTTGTCATTTCTCTGCAAGTTTAAACTATTCACAGAAAGAATATTAATTTCTGGAGACCAAAATTAAGATACAAATGGTTTTAAAACTTAACATAATACTTCCTATATTTTGATTTATTTTTCTCTACCAACTGTAGCAATTTGTATGCTGACATGTAATGTTTACTGTCCTTTTTTAATGCCCAGGAAACGACTACCATAAATAACTGATTAAACCGAAAATACTGAAACAATCTGCTGAATTAATTTTTGTAGATTAATAATTGGAGTAGTTTTTTATAATTTTACTCTTGATTACCATTATTTAAATATTCTGAATTTACTATAGTTCTGAAAATATTGAATCATTTTTCTGTATAAATAAGTACACATTAGAATTCTGAGTACTTTTTATTAGTTACTTTTATATCATGGTATCATGCATTAAGCTGCATATGCATATCAAAAAGTAAAATGTGTCACTACTAAAACAGAAAGGTCTATTAGAAAAATTATTTTGCAGAAACATGAACAAATTTAACACAGCAAACTATTAAAATTACACTTCTATTTGTTTTCACATTCTTATTTGGAAACAATTTCACCCAGCCAACATTTTCCCTCTAATTTGTGGCACTACGAACCATTCACATTCATTTGTTTATTAGGTAATATAATCTCAATTTATTCATTTTTCCACTTTTTATACTTCCCAAGGTACAAAACATTCATTCTTTTAGATCAGATTAAAATTTTTAGCGAGAATATAATGATTCCATGCATTCTTTTAATTTCATTTTAATAGTGGAAAATAACTAATTGCTGACAGTGAATTTCTTGCAATTTTTTAATTTCAGTTTCCAAATACATTATCTTCTTGAAGGAATGGAACTTCCTAATTTAAAAGCATATAAGTTTTAATGAAAACTAAATTTCATCAGGATTGCATTCAAAACACAAATCTGAACCTTGTAAGAACAATACAATAAGAGAAAATTCAAAGATGTGGATTAACTTCAAGCACAATACTATGAAAGGAAAATGTAGTTGGTATTCTTGCTGTATCATCTGTCAAGACTGGCACTTAAAGAAAGCAGGATTAGTATACTATTGGATAGATATGGTCTGAAAAATCACCAAGTGCTAACAATAATTCAATCACAGATTGCATCAATTGCAGATCAATATGTTCACTGACCTTCTTAATTTAATGAATAAACACTATGTTAAAGGAAAAGGGACAAATGAATTCGAAAATCACATGCAAATCAAGAAAGTAACCATACTTACATAAACCAATAAGGGGTATGAATCCAAATGTAACTTTCTTTTTACTCTGCAAGTATTAAAAATGTAAGGTTCAAGTGTAAACTCACATACAAAAAGTACGTAATTAAATACAAGAGGTACTTCAGATATTTCTGGTCATGGCAAAACAAGATTCCAAGATCAAAGAGTTGTAAAACAGATTTTCAGACATCAAATTTTAAAAATAACCTAAGAAAGACATCAAATGCAATGCTAAAAATAATAGTGACTTTATGTCAACACTCATTTCACATATTCCACATTTTCTTTTCTTAAAAATCATGAACAAATTAATGAACAAAAAAATGATTGTTTCATTCTGTTGAAGCAAACTGAGCATAGAAGCTGATGGAAATACGGAATCGATGGAAATATTTTTCAATACGAAGTGGAGCACATCATCAAAAAATTTAATGGATAAAAAGACAGCAAAACCAAGAAAACCAATAGCGAGTTAAGTGTATGGGAAGATGGGGCATGGGTGGGGGAGACCGGTATGTGTGCATTCAGAGGACACACAGTAACTTGTTTATAGATATAACTTACCAAGGATGATACAGACTTCTCTGTACTGTCACTTCCTTCATTACTTTAGAATTAAAAGACTTAAGTATATGATGGTGGAACAAATTTGATTCCTCCTGATGACTGTTCAATTATGTTAGTCTTCAATTACGATTTTATCACTAATAAAAATTAATATCAAAGCTGTTCAACATAACATGTAATGTATCATCTACTTATTATGTCCTCAATCAACATCTCTCTCTCCTCTCTATTCAGACTAATAAAAAAAAAATTGTACACTTAATGATTGGTAAAAATTTTCTGTCAAAGCCATTTGGCACATGTCATTCAATAATATTTAGTTTGTCTACAAGAACTTGATCATCCAACATTCACCTCCCTCCTTCAAAAATGTTCTCTCTACATGATAGCAAATGAGATGCACAAACACGCTCACCTGTTTCCTGCGTGCCTCACGCTCTATCTGAGGGGCCATATATGACTGCACTTCCTTTGATACTGAACTGGTAGAACTCCACCTTGATAACTGCAGCAACACAATACCCAGTAGTAATCAAGGAAAACACCATATGCGAGCACAACCTTTCATGCCACCACACCTTGACGCAAGCCAAAAACACTATAAAAGCACAACGGGGCTCAAAACACAAAAGGGATATGATAAGGGGAGTGCAAGATCCACTGGCCATAATAAGAAAATATTCCAAGAATGCGTCAAGATTTGGTCATTCTGTTAACAAGACAACGAAAAAGAGAAGTCGCCAAACACACCTAAAACTCAAAACATAGAGATAACACCAAAGCAAAAGGCAGTGTGAAGAAAAGCTACCTACAAAGCAGTGCACATTAAGCAGGAAAAAATGGACATCTGAGCTATGGAGGAATGAAATATGAAACTTACCTTACAGAAAACGAGTGACGTATTATTAAATTAATACACAAAAATACAAATATGACGATAATGGAACATCATATAAATTTACTTTTAATCAGATCTTACCCAGAAATGAAAAAAAAGCTCTTTAAAGTTCTTTCCAAAAATTTACATTAAACTCTAATTAAACTTTCCCGCACAAGTTCTGATGGAATGTTTTTGTTCTGGATAGTACAAATTAGAAAACCTTTAATTATAAAATAAAATAGAAAAGCAAAACCCAAAGTTATCTTTACACAATAACTAAAATATTTTAAAATGGTAGGACTTCCATGTACCACACATTCCAATGCCTAGTTTCAAATTAAGTTTAAAGAATTCAAGGAAAACATTTCATCAACAATTCAGTAAGAATTTCAATTCATTTAGTTACATCAGAAAAGAGCTATTTGTTGAAAGCAACTATGTGTACTCAGAAAAAACTTGAAATTAATAATAAAGTGTACATCTTCCTCACAATCAGTATTCCTTCAATTACCTTGTTCAAAACCGAAAATTTTGCAAAAGTTAAGAAAATAAGATGTGTTAAAGTTATATAATTATGATGAAAATTTTATACAATATTCTTATTATTATAGTATTATTGTTCCTAAATAACCTCATGAACAAAGGCAAGGATTCTTCAGAATCATAACTCTCAGTGCTCTTAAATTTTTATTAAAAGAAGAATAGATAAACTAAATTAAAAACAAAGACAATTCACAAACTTCAAGAAATTTTAACAAATTTATTACAGACATTATGTATCGAAATATTACAAGTCTTCAACAACGAGTGCACTAAAAGTAGCACAACATATTTTATGTTCAATATAAACAAATATATCTAATACTTTGTACTAAATGACATAAGAGAAGAAAGATGACTTCAAGCACCTGTAGAAAGTTCTTATCAACTTACTTCAATTTTTGAAAATAACATAAAATTTTGCAGAAATCAGACAAAAACATTAACATTCTCCATTTCTTTGGCACACAATAAAAGAAAATAGCTTATGAGAAACATTAACAATAAATTTGTATTCATTGTAAATGATACTGATAAATTGACCTAAAACAATGTTGCACAGAACCACAATTTACATTCAATAAATAATCTTCAACACTTATTTTTAACAGCTTTTGCAGGTTTACATTGTGTAGTTCAATTTCAAATATTTCTGTGTTCCTAAAAAATCTATAGAACTTATATTACAGGAAAAATATTAGAAAGAAAGATAGTTTCATCAATCATAAAAGTAAGATATTTTCATTATTTATGCAAAATAATAAAAAGTACAATCAAATACACAGCCGGAAATTTTCTCATACTGTCTACCAAAGTAAGAAGATATTGAATTTTTAACAGAGTAAAATAGATTTCAAAATGCCTACGTGTTTTACACAAGAAATACCATACATTACAAGAGATTGTGATATATTAAAACCACATTCAACACAAAAACATCCTATGTTTCCGAATAACTTTCACTTAATGTAACAGTACTTTCAAATTCAATCACAATTATTTACATTTTTACATTAAACTTACACTTCGAGGGAAAATTCAGTGTGTAAGTAAAATTATATAGATGATCTGAACACGTTACAGCTGATTAGTGAATGGCCCACTAAACAAAAACTACAATACAAAAAGACAAATTTATACAACCTTGTTCTCCTTCAGTCCTCAGCCTGCATGCAACAAAGAGGAAGGGAAACAACATTAAAACAGGTAGAGCATTCGTAACTGAATTAAGAAGTGATTCTTAACCCTGTTGAAGTCCAAATTAATTTTGTTTATAAAAAATATCCATCACATCACTGTTACAATATATAAGACATAAATGAGCAATAAAATAAAACAGAACAATTCAAGCATCTGTCTATTGCCATTTTATCATATTATAGATTATATATCCTCCATCTGAAGTACCTATTTTTAATTATGAAGACCATTGACTCACCATTTTAGCCTACACTAATCACTTACCTCGGAGCCTTCTGCTCCCACATTTTCAGCAGCTGCTGTTAAGAAATCCACAGGCATGTTATCATCAGTGTGAACTGAAACAAGTAATTAAAGGCAGCAATTGACTATTAGCATTTCAATTTTATTTTTTAAAGAGAAGTTGTAAATATTTCAAAAGAACACCTAAAAACTAATTTATTACCTGGGGCTGGAACAAAAAAGTTTGCTGGATTAGAATTAGTCTGGGCTGAAACAACAGGAGGGAAAATTTCTGGCGCTGGAACAGGCTGAGTAGAATTTTTAACTCCTCCAAATACATCCACATAATTAGCCCTGGATCCTGAAGAAATGAAAATAACTAACATGACTGAACTAGATAAAATTGTAGGCAAGTAAAGAAAAAATGTTCGCACATTGGCAACTTAACATAAACACATTTTATTTTTTAAACAAGAATTATCATACCTCTACTTCTGTTCATTTTATACATATTTTGTCCAGAGGGAGGAGGCATTTTAACATCTCCATTACTTGTAGTGGAAGACACGATATGTGGAGTAGATGATGGTGCCGGAATTTCTGTCATTTTTGGAGGGGGAGGTACGTCACCACCCTCATCATCATCATCAGCATCAGTGTTCACCCATCTTTGTTTTTCTGAATTCCATACAATCTGAATACGGTAAGACCATATCAGTCACTGCTCAAACATTTAACTGTAATTCCTCTAGCCAATCTGAATTTACCTTTGGTTCCTTATCATCAGGCAAAATCATTTGGTTCTTTGGGCGTAAAGAGAGTTTGTTCCATAGACCACCAAACCATGAACTACGAGCAGGAGCCGGTGCAGTCTTCTTTGGGGGGTCTTTTTTGGGTTTTGATTTTGTCACAGCAGCACCTTGTGCCTTGAGGGCTGGTTGATTGGTTACCATTGGGGCACGATGCTCTCCAGAAGATCTCTGCACACAGTACATGGTAGGCCAGGCCGCCAGTTATTCTCAACACTGGGTAATGTAAGGCATTTCCACTGGCTATATTACACCATTTTAACACTAACATAAATTTTCAAATCGAATGACGGTAATAGGTAAACATTGTCTGATGTTAAAGTTCAACATCTACATAGCAAGCTTTGTTTATTTCAATATGCTGTATAAACAGAAGAGAATATGCTGTCTGACTACATCACATTCACACACAGTGCAAGAGAACAAATATTCTAACAGTACATGAATCTGTACTGCACAATTCTACAAAATTTTTATTAGCATACACACACACCCATAGCAAATAATTTAAATGTGCAACAAATTTCAATAAGAAATTTGCTCACGTGTCAAAAGAAGTAATGCTACTGTTAATATATTCATGAAAACATGAGCACTCAAAACAAAAGAATTTATTACAGAGAAATATTTACCCAAAGCTGGGAAAGAAAGATTTTGTTGACAGGGAATTTTTAAGAATTATTGGAACACCTTCACCCATCTCGCTACACCACAGATAGGCATGCTGTGCATCAAAATTCAATAGAAAACAATTCCTAAAAATATAATGGAAAGGGACAGACAAGAAGAGGCTGAATAACAGAGATGCACAAATTCAAATATGCAAAGTATGCAAGACAGTACAGGAAGGCAAAATGATACAACTGCTTTGTTCACAACGTTAATACATTAAATCATAACGTTGTTTCAATGACAATTTCCCTCAAAACAAGTGGTGATTTCTACACAATTAATTTGTATTCAGAATTCATATTCATATTCTTGGTGCCAGTTAACAATGTCATTTTAAAGAACAAGACTTTAAAAATAGCAGCACTCTACTCTAAGTTACAATTCACTCATATTATTACCTTTATATAATCTGTAATGAATCTTGTACTTCAATAAACTGAGTTCCAAACTGGTAGATGACTCTTCATAAACACACACAAAAAATCAACAAATTGAAAAATAACAGGATTGTAAGAGACAGCAAAGAAAACAATTCTGGTCAATACAAACAGTCAAAAATCATTTATTTAAAATCTGTATACATAACAATACACAGAGAAGGGTATGACTGGAAACTGTTCACATAGTACTTTTTTTAAAAATATCTAGACAATTCAGTAACAATGAGATAAAATTTAGAGCACAAAGTATAGTGATGTAGCATATTTAAGGCATTAAATGAGCTTTCACAATATATAAATTTTGTATGTGTACTTATAAACATATGTTGTGTAATATCAACATTACAAATGGTAGAAATCAGGTATAGCTGTCTGAACCTTGTTGATTTTTAAGAGCCAATTTAATGTAAAATTTAGTAATATTCAGCCAAAGCATAACATCAACGCAAAGAAACATCTTTGAAACTTTTAGTATGGAACTTAACACAAATAATCACAGATAAAAACAATGATTCACTCAACCATGTACTGTCTTACAAACCACCTGAAACAAACCCACCTAAAACACTCATCTACTTGTATGACAAATGCATACTAGTCTGCTGCCTCCAGCACAAATGCATCTATTTTTGTGCAACTACATTAGCGTTAATACATGGTACCCCTTGGAGTATTTACTTCTTTAAACAATAAAATTTCGTTAGATGGTTTATCATGCTGGCAAATTTGTACTTTAAGTTGTTCATGTCTGATATTATTGCTTTGCGTATATACCAATTGAGCACTTTCTTTTTCAAGAGCATTAACAATAATCCTAATAACATCTAAGAGCACATTACTGGCATGATAAAATTTATTGCTGTATACGTTTTCTTAACATATTCCAGAAGGCACAACTACAGATAGGGACAGAGGCACAATGCCAGATTCAAGTCTTTACTATATTTCCCCAAAGGCAGCAACTTTGTAATACTGCTCAAGATCCTATTTTCTTTCGGCTCATTATCACAATATTATTGCTATAGTTTTCTTAAATTGCTTGTATTAACAGCATTTAAATCCTTGAATATTCAATGACAAAACAACTTTCTTCATCTACCTTCTCTAACTTTAGTTCTATCTTTACAACTCTCAGTTTCAAACTTAACAATACAGACACTAGCAACAATCTACAAATCCTCTTCAATTACTGTATTTTATTGGATCTGTTAAACCTATACGATGACAAGTCAGATTTCTCCATAATTGGTCCTGCTACATGGTTACTAAGTGCTAATGCACTAGAACTTGAACAGGGAACATCTATTTCATATGTCTGAGGTGGTACAATGTTCGCCAATGGTTCTCTCTCACCCATAACTGGAGAACCAGTTCTCTTGCTCAACGGCATGTCAATAGGAAATGTACCATTGAAGATCAGTGGTTTCGAACCTTTTAAAATTGATGTCCGTTCTCCATTCCCACTGTCCCGGCCAAAGAGACTATGCTTCAAATTAAGTAACAAACGGCTTCCTCGAGAACCACTCCATGCATCTACTGTGTCACAAATGACATCGGATCGTTTTTCCCAAACAATCAATGGGGGAGAACGAGCTCTATGTTGCTGATATGACAATGGCTCCTTAACAGAACTTCTGCCACGCCTTTTATGAATATCTCTCATACAAGAAACAGGCAGTGCCTGTGATGCTTTTTGATCACGAGAACAATCTCCCTTCTTCACAACAGTATCACTTGCTCTCTTTTTAAATATGTTATATGATTGTTCAGAATTCCTTAAGTGAAATTCCTTTTGTGAAGATACACTTTTTCTAGAGGAAACGACTTGTGAGCTTTGAGAATCACACAATAATTCATCATCACTGCTAAACACAGGATTTGATTTTTCTGGAATTGAAGTGTTTCTAAAAGTCTTCATAGCTGAGCAAGACTTTGTCTCTCTTTCATTTTGACTGACAACACACAGCTTTTTTGAGTTTTCAAAGTGGCACTTTAAAATATGGCTTGATAATTCATTATACATTTTAGGAGCTATGTTTAAACAATTTCCATTTGGTGTTCTCTTAAAAACATTAACGTTTAGGTCTTTGTTACATTCCTCTTGGTTGGGGAGGGTAAAAGAAAGTGGGAGCACTTCTGAATTTTTGTGATAAACACTAGGCACACTTTTATCTGAATCTGAAACGAGATCTTTGTACATAGGCACAACTCTTTCAGAATATAACTTCATACTTTTTCCTGAGGCACATTTTTTTGTATTATGCGGGTCTATGGCCAAAGAGTTTTTATTAGTACATAGGCTGTCGTAAGAACCATTACTTTTTAAACTGCTTCCTCTCTTACAATTTACATTGCTGTTATCAAACCTACAAAGTGCTTTACAAGAATATGCACTACAGGAATTACAGTGTGTCCTACAGTTACAGCAGCTGAGAGTTCCACCTTCACCATCACCTTTACCACTAACACCACTATCACGTCCATCACCAATGCCTCCTCCATCACCATCAACATGATCCTGATCATGATCACTATCACCATCACCATCACCCAAAAAAGGAGTGTTGAGTGCAGGAAACGATAATGTACAAGCAAGGCTGGGGGCTACACTCAAGTCCACATGACCACCCCCATAACAGGTCTTAGATTTGACACCTAGCTCACATCTGCTACTTTGAGCAAGCTTCAGGGTTCCTTGAGGAAGGCGGCAGGTTGTCAGCAGTGTACTTACAGGATCAGCCGTCACTGAGCACTAGTGAGCCGCAGAAGGCAAGGGGACAAAAGTAAACACGTGGATTACTACTACACTTAACACACACATTCTAACTAAACAGCTGCTCCAAAAGGAGCATGTGGGAGTGATAGATGATCCATTACATAAGGGGCATGACCACATTGCATACTGAGTGAAAGAAAAATGCAAGAGACATTCAGCTTAATATCAACACTAAACAAGAATGGGATAAAATAGAGTGAATTAGGATGAGCTGCCATATCTGTAAGGACAATTATGCAAAGGTATTTCATAAAGCAAAAAGCAAACGAGCAAGAAAAGACAGTAGAAACAAATTATTATGAAGGGAAAAGTAAACTAGTACATATCCACATTCCAATCAAACCGTGGTAAGAATTAACTGCTCCAAAGTGGCCAAATCATCCTAACACAGAAATCAATTTGTCCCATTCACTCAGTATGCAGGAGACCACACTTAAGGCCATGCTTACCCATTCTCAATCAGACAACAAGCCCTCCACTGTATGTATAATATTGAAATTTGATCTGCAGATTCATAAATACATCTCATAACTGTTGTTGCAAATTCTTTTATAAAATTATTTTTCAAAGTTTCGATCAAAGCAAAAGTGATTTTTAAGAATTCTCAATTCTGCATACATTTAATTAACACATTTCTTATACATCTAAGCAGAGTATAAAACCTAATAATAAATACCTACATTATTTTTTTTAGGTAAATGATACCTAAAAACAAGTATCCTAAGGACTTCCTAAATTTAAAAAATACAAAACAAAGAGCATAAAGACACCCCATCAAAATGATAACATGTTTTTTAAAATCTACAAATCACTTATAGGAATGTCAAGAATTTTAGAATGTGTTAAACAAATGCATACAGTACAGAGACTCTGAGGAACTAAATTTACATGATGAAACTAGTAGTCAAAATAGTTCAAACATGAATAAACACAAACACTCAAATTTATGTTTACACTAAAAGTTCCTGTTACTTCATGTCAAAACCAAATTTTAATAATTCCATCACAAAATTTAGCTCAACTGAATACAGTACATGTTGAAGATTGCCAGGAAATCCTACAAATGTCACATCATCAAATTTAATTGATAATATTTAAAGATAAAATGCAAGCTATAGTAATTAAATACTGATCAACAAAAATACTTATACTGATTAACAAAAATACAAGGAGACTGTTTCAAAAATAGTACAATACTTCTACAGACACAAGCATTCAGAACGTAAAAACTTGTTAGCAATCTACACTTGTGAGCAAAAAATACCTATAAATGATCACAAAGAAAAAAAATATATAGTGGAACAAGCAAATATCAGCTAGGATGACAAAATAATTACTGTACAAAAAACTATAGAGGAAAGAAAACCAAGAAAAAGGTAATATTTGCACAATTAAGAGTTCAATTTTTAATATCCAGTTGTGAACTTTAGGTAAGGCAATCAAATGAGACAATATCATCAAGTGAACCTAAAAGTATTTTTATTCATAACTAGAATAATTCCAAAACCATTAAACAAAAAACTACAGAAGAACATCAATAACTTGGATTCTTGAATACCCAAATATTACATAAAAACCCTTCTTAATAACTCCAATTTTGGCTAATGATTTGTTTTTCCAATGATCGTTTAAAACCTTAAACCTTTGAAGGTGGATTTCCCCCACTGAAGATTGAAATACAAGACACTAGTTATAAGGTGCTCTTTGTGACTTTCTAGTAAATGTAGAATAAAAGGTTGCATAAAACCGATTCAAATTTCTTCATATCCTTCCCAGTGGAGAAATTTGGTAAAGAGAATGCATGATACTATCAAATTTTCAAGTTGCCTTGTGTGTGTGTTAAATTTTCAATAATACAGCCCCATCTTACAGAGCATGAGTCATATGAGTGTGCTCCATTTGTGCTCTTCCGAGCCTCTGCTGGCAATTTGTTATCCTTGAACAACATTGTCTATTACTTATGAATGTTTCTACTTAATTATGAGCATCTGTAACTAGAAGCTTATACCAGTTTCATAAGTCAGTCTGAGCTTTCTAAATCTGAAATTCCTTTCATTTTTGATGGTAATAAATAAGGTGAAACATTCAAGATTTCAAACTCTTTTTTTAAACTTTAAAGAACTCAAACTGAAAATAACTGAGAAAAGATTAGCTACTAGGCAGGACAGCTTTTTAAGAGTGGAATGAGTGAAGTCTCATTTGTTCAGAGTAGAATAATGAAACTGAATTTGTACAGAATAATTTAAAATTTCACAGTGTTAAAAAGGTTTAAAGATGTTTGATGGTTATTTCGGTAATCAAACAGAGTCGTGTAATTCAATATTCATTATAAATGACAAATCAGCACAAACAAACAGTGGTATTAAAAAAAAACTTGAGAAACTTTCAGTTCTCTCACATAATCTCAATAACACTCATCCCATGAAATAAAAATACACCTTTTATGTAAATATCCCGTTATCAAATACACCACTTATTTTCATTTTAAATACATTTTTTATATACACCACTTACTTTCAAAATCGAGTTTTGAGGGTTCTTTTCCATCAGTCTGGAAAACGAGTTTCATAACTCCAATTTATAAATCTGATGATCATTCAGACATAAAGAATTACAGACCCTTCTCAAAATTGAGTTGTATACCAAAATTATTTGAATCTATCTTAACAGACAAACTCGCAGTTTCTAATAAGCATGCTTATGGATGAGCAGCATGACTTTAGACACTAGCATTTGACATTGACAAATTTATTAATATTCCAACCAGTGGCATGCATTCAACCCCAGCAAGGTCTGCAAAAATTAGAATTTAATGAATATTGAGAATTAAAATTACGGTGAACTGTATGGCACTTAATCAAAAATGTTGCATACACTGTGTAACAGCCATAACAGATAATGTACAGAACCCAGCTAGGGATTGACGACGTAACTCTCCTTCACTTGCTTCAAGGCCAGGCCTCCACAATTCATCATTATTTTAAATAGCAAGTTTTGACAGTATAAATTACCGTAGAGTTTGTCGAGAAGTTTATAACTTACATAATGACTACGGGGCATGTATTTCTCTCTTGCTGTAATGAGAGTGAACCATAGTGATCCCTAGAGATTTTATTAATTACTATGAGGAAGGTAGTTTGACGCATGTGATCAAAACACTAGATTCCCCGAATTTTAAAAAAACGAAACAAACCTCTCTAATGGTTCCATGTGCATCCAACAAAGAGAAGAATTCAAAAGAAAAGCAACAAAAATTTCAAACATAAAATTACGCTACATTACTCATATTTTAAAACAATTGCACATAGCATAATTTTATGTACCATACTTTACTGTATATATAAGAAAAAATATTATTAGCATTTTTGAGAAAAAATTGTTTATAATGGTTTTAAAAGTATCTACATTTCAGGAAAATTACGCAAGTAGTATTTAAATTTTTGAAAAATTGTACTTGACCTTATTTAAAAATCTATCTTTAAGAAACAGATTTCATGAAGGAAAAAAACCTCAATTCTCAATATTTTAGCTGTAGAAAACCCCAACAAAATTTTGAACTTTTGCAATTTCCGAAAATTTAGGGTTTTTAATGAACAGGAGACCTGCTCCATTCTCTTAAACGTTCTCCACACTATCCAACAACAAAATTTTATCAAAAATGTTAGAGTCGCTGTTTTGAAAATTATGAAAATGTCCTAGGGACTTCATGTAAAGTACTCCCAAAATCGACGACAAATACGACATCAGCCAAATCTATTGGGGAATATTAATTTTGGAGAAACTCAACTGAACAATTTAGCTGCTAGCGTTGCTCACAAATGGATGGATAGACATTTTGCTATCAATCGATTTCTGGTACTAAGAACCCTCAAAACATGGATTCTGTCTCCATCACATTTTAGAGGACGTTTTCTTCTAACTTTAGGAAGGATTTATCCACTTTTTTTGATATCAGAGCTCGGCAATAAGAATTTTACTGCTGAAAATTCTCAGTTTTTTCACGCAGCATTACATAACTTTCTCTCTACTGGGTAAGCGGTAGCGAGAAAGTAAAAATCATCATCTTTTTAAATAATAATAATAATAATAATAATAATAATTAGTACATTACGTGTTGAAAACTAATGAATGGAGGTCAACTTTTGGCTACTCTAAACCTTTTCAATGGAGTCCTTGTAAGCAAGGATCCCTCAAGTTTTGCCGATTTGAATTTACATGACATATATTTCACTGAAAAGGCAACTTACATATTTGTAATTTGTTCAAGTGTAAGTTGCTTTACAGAGAGACTTTTCAATATTCAGTCCTGTAAACAGATTTTTCTATCAACAAAACAGAAGCAAATAAGAAATAGTCAATGACTACCAATACGTATTAGAAATACGAAGTCCACACCAGATGTAAATATCACCAATTGCAATACTGGCCGGGTTGAATATTTTCGCTTTGAACTTGTCTGGACGCATATGTATTAGTATAGCCAAAGCATACATGTATATAGAAGGGCCTATTAGTGTGTTTGAAATTTGCCTGAAATTTGTTTTTGTGAGCAACATTAGAGTGTTCACATATGCATATTTGAGCACAGGCATATGTTGTGAGGGCATAAATACCAGCCTATGTGACCATGAGCATATAACATTCCTGATGAACTCCTTACATTTTTTTAATTTTTACTCCATTCTGAAAAAGCTGTCCTGTTAGAAAAATGCAATATGCACTTTCATGCAAGAATTTATTTCAGTTACATCAGATGATACTTGGTAGTTATTGGTGCTTTCCAACCCTATTCTTTATTTACTCAGAAATTAATAGCTAAATATATTTTTAAATTATATATTTGCTTTATGATATAGTAATTGTATAACATACCAAAATTATTAAATAAACAAAAATACAAACAAATAATAAAAGGGACCCATTATTGACAAATATATTCAAAATGAGAATGAACTCCAACATGCAAACAAGTGAATCTGACACACAATATTGTAATACTTTTCTTCCCAGCATGTGTTTTAAATTCCTTATAGAACAGTAATGTTATGTAATGTAATATCAACTCTACCACCAAGAGCATTCAATAGTCTTTCACTCAACCTCCTGGACTTACATTAGTCAGTCAAGAAATGAGATTCTTTAAAAGACAGAATTATTGTGTGTCTGGATCGAAAATGGTAAAATACAGAACAAACAATAATAAGCAAAGAGTTTCTGTCAAGATTTAGATAAGTATTTACACAAGAAAAAAATACAAACATACATACATCATTTTAATTCATGAACACATTGTGAATAGTCTTACCTCCATAGGTTGTTTATTGGAAGTCTGAGCTTGATATAAACCATAGCCTGATGATTGATCATCTTGTGTATTTCTCCCATCTCTGGAATCAACACTATTGGCCTGGAAATCCCATCCCATCTGGGCATTCTGTGGTTGAGCATCTTGTTGAGGATGGGCTATACTCGAATTTTCAGTAGATAATCCACTACCCCAATTATTTTGAGGCCAATATGCTTCACCGCCTTGCCTCATCTCTGAGCCAGGATGTTGTTCTCCCTGATAATCTGAAACATAATTAATATGTATTAATTAGATTCAAGGAAAAACAAACACTTCACGGATATGAAGATTCTGTTTACATTTAATTACCAACAAAATTACAAACTACTTTTGTTTCATATGAAGAAACAAGTTTTAGTTTCCTGTGAAGATCAAAACATTTTACAAAATAAAATTCAAAACCCATTTTCATCTTGATATTAAATTTCATCAAATACCTGTTAGGAGTAAATATAGCAATGCAATAAGCAGCATAACATTTTCATTGCAACCACTAAGGTACAGCAATGTAACACCTGTAGGCTAATAATACAATACTCATACCTCATGTCATACTATTATTTAATTTAGTTAATGAATCTTTTAAAGATGGAGAAAATTGTGGTCTTAAATTTATGGAAATTTTTCATAAGTATTTAAATACAATTGTATTTAAATATTTAAAAATTATTTATTTATTAAAAATATTTTTTAATTTACAACAATTTCTTTAATTAGTGTACATAAAGGGCACAGCTCTAGAGCATCTTATGACTCATTTTCAACAAAAATTAAATTAATTCATGTTACAACAGAGTGGCTACTCATTTTCTGGAATAAACTCCCTATTCCCAATTTTCTAGTTAATTTTTATAATCTTTCTTCTCTCAAAAATTTGCAATTTTAAAGTAAAATAATAATAATAATAATAATAATAATAATAATAATAATAAAAGCAACATGATACTATTTGGACAGCTGTCTAATTTCAAGAGGACAAACTTCAAATTAACATTTTCTCAACAAACAAAAGTTGAGCAAAAAAATAACGCTGTATATCTGTTTTTAAGAAATAATTTTTAGTTATACAGCTCTCTCAGAATTTTCCCAGACTTCTAATGATTCTTCTACGAATTCCCTGATTTTTCTTTGCTTTCGACGTTTTCCAGAAAATGGCCACCCTGTACAAATTTCTAGGGCAAAAAGGAAGGTCCTCAATGCTTACTTTTTGCCAATGTATACGAGATTAAGTTACATATTAGACATTCACCTCTGATTGGTAGGCAATTTAGTCTACACGGGTGTATGGAAGGGTAAATGTTTCGCTGCTGAGAACAAGATTTCCTATGCCTGCCAAATCCAAGTGCAAGATGATTTGCCTATTAACCCTTTGATTGCTACAGCTGTGCCTAGAGTGAATCACATGGCGTGGTGCAATATGTGTGGCCATCCATGCCGCTGTGTGTTGAGCCTGCCGCTCAGGCTGGGGTCTGTCACTGCGGTAACTTAGAGATTATGCAATAAATCCAATCATAACCAAAAGCAGACTCAGAAAAACCTTTGAACTTAACCACTAAACGATAAGGAGCAAAAGATGAAAGAAAACATGAGTTAGGTAGGACCTAACGGGACTTCAAGGGCTCAAGGTGTTTCACAGGATTGAGATGTAAACAGCAACAGGAAGTGTCAGTTAATGTCTCTTTGTAAAGCAGTCCCTGGTGAGAGAGAGAGAGAGGGAGGGTGAGGAGGAGGGAGAAGACAGAGGAAGAGAGAGGGAGAGGAAAGGGTAGTGAGGGGGGGAGAGAGAGGGAGGACGAGAGAGGAGGGAGAGGTAGAGAGGAGCGGAGAGAGAGGGAGAGAGGGAGAGAGAGGGAGAGAGAGGAGGAGAGGAGAGAGAGGGGCGGAGGGAGGGAGAAGGGGAAAAGAGGAGAGAGGAGAGGAGAGGGAGAGAGAGGAAAGGGAGAGAGAGAGGGGAGGGAGAGAGAGATAGGAGGAGAGAGGGAGAGAAGAGAGGGAGAGGGAGAGAGGGGGGAGAGGAGAGAGGGGGAGAGAGGGAGAGAGGGGAGAGGAGACGAGGAGGGAGAGGGAGAGAGGGGGAGAGGGAGAGGGAGGAGAGGGAGAGAGGAGGAGAGAGAGGTGAGAGAGAGGGGGAGAGAGAGAGAGAGGGAGAGAAGGGAAAGGAGAAGAGGGAGAGAGAGGGAGGAGAGAGAGGAGAAGAGAGGAGAGGAGAGAGGGAGGAGAGAGATGTGGAGGACAGGAGAGGAGAGAGAGGGGAGAGGGGAGAGCGGAGGGGGAGAGGAGGGAGAGAGAGAGAGAGGAGCGAGGGGGGAGAGAGAGGGGAGACAAGGGAGGAGAGAGAGAGAGAAAAGAGGGAAGAGGAGGAGAGAGAAGAGCCGAGGAAGAGGAGAGAGGAGAGAGGAGGGAGAGAGAGAAGAGAGAGAGGGAGAGACGAGAGGAGAAGAAGAGACGGAGAGAGAGAAGAGGAGAGAGAGAGGAGAAGAGGAGAGGAGCGGCGAGAGGGAGAGAGTAAGGCAGAGGGAGAGAGAAGGGAGGGAGAGAGAAGGAGGAGAAGAGAAGGAGCGAGAGAGAGGGAGAGAGAGGGAGAGAGCGGAGAGAGAGGGAAGAGGGGAAAGAAGTGAGAGAGAGAGGGGAGGAGAGAGGAGGAGGAGAGGAAAGGAGAATAGGAAGAGAGGGAGAGGAGAAGGGAGAAGAGCAGGAGGGAGAGGAGAGAGGGAGAGAGGAAGAGGGGAAGAGGGGGGAGAGGGCGAGAGGGAGAGGAGAAGGGAAGAGGAAAGGGGAGAGGGAGAGTGGGCGAGAGGGAGAGGGAGAGGGAGTGAGAGGGGGAGAGGGGGGAGAGGGGAGAGAGGGGAGGAGAGAGCGGGAGAGAGAGAGAGAGGGGAGAGGGATGGAGAGGGGAGAGGGAGAGAGGATGGAAGAGGAGAGAGGGGCAGAGGCAGAGAGGGATGGAGAGGGAGAGAGAGAGGGAGACGGGAGAGAGGAGAGTGAGAAGAGAGAGAGAGAGGAGAGGGAGGCAGGACAAGGAGAGAGAGAAAAAGAGAGAGAGGAAGTTAGAGAGAGAGAGAGGAGAAGGAAGGAGAGAGGAGAAGAGAGAGAAGAGGAGAGAGAAAGAGAGGAGAGAGAGAGAGAGAGAGAGGAAGAGACGGGAGGAGAAGAGGAGAGGAGAGCAGAGGAGAGGGGAGAGAGCGGAAGGGAGAGAGGAGACAAGGGAGAGAGAGAGAGAGAGAGAGAGAGAGAGAGAGAGAGAGAGAGAGAGAGAGAGTTCCCAACCCTCCTTGAAGCTCATTCTGGTAATGCATACAGAATTTAGGAAACCAACTTCAGTCATTACTACATAGACGGCAGTGAACCAAACAATAAGTATTTGTTTTGTAGCAAAACCCAAACTAACTCTTAAAAACTCGAGACTTTGCAAACCTGAATGGCATCTATATGTCAAGTTAGTCTGCTGAACCACAAATAGGTACCATTAAAATCATCTCAGGAATCATTTGGCCCCCACAAAAGGCATTATAAGAAAGAAAATGGCTTCGCGTCTGTATACATCCAGAGGCTCCCAGCAAAAGCTCAACTGCATGCAGCAACACGTGCAAAGGCCCTCAGGATAGAAATTTTCTGCATGTCAACACGTCCAGAGCAGTCAAAGGGTTAATCAGAGGCAAACATCAGAGACAATCCATTTATTAAACTAGTTAACGAAGATTTTGCATGCTTGAATATCTTGTTTTGTGTTGTTGTTATTATAATTAAAAACAACTTTATTTTTTAATGTTGAATAATCATTACAATAAATGGTTACTGTGCAGTTTTGTAATTAATTAGAGTTAATTAAAATGGGGCCAGGCTGTAAAAAGCCATAATTTGGAAAAATACTAATGAATAGAAGAAAATAACGGGTAGTTGTTTTAAATCAGAGATTCTCAAACAAATCATTTGGATTAAATCACCATTTAAATCATAACCTGGATCCTTCACCGAGTAAACACAACTCTAAATATAAGGCCCAAACAAACAATGGGCTAAACTCTCAAAACTTTTTTAAATTATACTATCTGAGCAGTAGATATTTTACAAGCTGATCTACAAATATCAAAGAATAATTCACTACATTGCACCTACAATTCAATTAATATTTATCACGAGGAATAATAATTTGCTTTACACCATTTTAACTTTCCTGATCCAAAAACACAATCAAAAGTAATAGAAATGAAAAATACACACTGCCTCTTTGAAAACCAACCAAATACAGTAAAATTTATTTAATACGGAAGTTTCACAAGTGCATTCAAATTATCAAGATATTTTCACTACAACATGAATATTTAAAATCACTTTCCATTTCCGCAAAAATACAAGATTCTTTTAACAACCTTTCCTTGCAAAATTCTTTACAACTTTACTTCCAATGGAAACAATGCTTCTTAAAATGCAAATATGTTTCTTGAGAATTAAATTTATTTAAAGTAAAACTTAGCTAATAATTTATTCAAAATTTTCAATTGAAGAAGAAAGTTTGAACCATGTCAATTTTAAGTAAGCTAAGAGGAAAAACAAATGTTTAAACCTTGAGAGTTCCATCCTGGTTGTACGTTGTACGGCACTCCACTCCCTGGTAAATTTGTAATTCCTTGTTCTGATGAAATCTGAGATGCATCACCAAAGCTAGTCTGAATCTCCGAATCTCCTTGCAAGGAGGATGGCAATTGTTGTGGCATCTGTTGTTGTTGTTGTTGTTGTTGTTGCTGCTGGTGCTGTTGCTGTTGTTGTTGTTGTTGCTGCTGCTGCTGCTGTTGTTGTTGAAGGGAAAACTGAGATTGTTGCAGTTCTAGGGGCAGTTGTTCTTGATGTTGTTGAGGCCATGCCTGCAAAATCGTGCAACTTAATACACAATTTGTTTATTGCATATACACTTAAACATTGGCTTGGTTGGAAGCGCAGGATAGTTCAAAAAGATAACTTAATGTTAAAATTACAATATTTCTTTTTTGCTAAGAATCCTCATGATTACATCACAGAAAAAATGTGTTATTTGAAAAAAGGGCATTGATGGTTACATTTAACAACAGGTTACTGTACCAAATACCTACTTAGTAATTGCAAATTAACATATAATTAAACTTCTCTGAGATCACTGAACAAACTTTTCCTTTATCATTAAGTTTATAAACTAAATGTACAAAAATTAACTCAACTTGCCACATAACCTTGTTACCATTTGAACTACTACTGAAAAATAAAAATAACAACATTGCAACTCACTTCTTGCTGAAGAACATTAGATATCTGAGGCTGGGCAGAATCTCCTTCAGACATGCTAAGATTAGACGTTGAACCAAAACTAGGTCCATCTGGTTGTATAGCACCTGCCTGTAACAAAATAAACACAGTTGAATCGTAATAATCTTTGAAGGAAATTGATATACTTTTCTTATTTAATACGATGTGTAAGGTAACCCTCAATCTTATTTTTCTTTGCCACATATTCACATTTTCAGTTCCATTGTATACCTTTAAATCAGGAGAATAATTGAAGAAACATGTCAAAATGTAAAATTCAAAATAATTAATTTGGTTTGAAATGTTATGATAAAAATATTTAATTTAATTTAATAACGTGTTACCAAACTCAGAGATTGATCTCATAGCACACTCAAGTTTGATTATTTTTTTGAAAGCAATAAATTTTGAATTTTGTTGTAGAATCTCAAAATTTGCGCCTTTACAAAAAAATTTAATTAAATACAAAGAAAAATATATGTGTTAATTACACTTGATACATTAGATATAAAGTTTTAAAAATTTTGCGATAACCTTATTAAAATAAACCTCCCAAAAATTTTCTAAAATACTTGTCATTTTCTTTTTCTTTTTTTAATTTATTTATTAATCGGTAAAGGCAATGCCAAATTAGAAATATACTATAATGTACAAAACAAAATCCAAATTAGTTAAAAACATATACTAATATTTTTCTCTTTCGCTAAAAACTTAAATTTAAGAACAGAATAAGACAAATCAATATTTGCATTATTCGCTATTTTATACATATGCCAATTTTTTATTAGCATTTGTTTTACGAAAAGGAACATTAAATAGAGCTTTGTTAACATTGCTAAGTTTGAGTACAGAAGCTTTCCATAACAATAATTTTAATAAATCAGTGTAATCAATATGATTGTTATGTAAATAATACAAAAATAAATATTGACATACATTCTATGAGAATTTAATGAGCTAAGACCCAGTGTAGTGTAACGTATTAACTAGCGTGCCTCATGGCATCTATTTGGGGACGCTGGCAGAGGATCAGCCTTGCCACAGGAAGAAGGTTTTTTCCGTAAAGGGAAGAACGCGGAAACGGGAGACACAAGGCTTTGGGAGTTTCCGGCTTATAGAAGCTTTTCACTGTTATAACAAGCGAGGGGGTGGCGTGACGTAGTAGGTCACGTGGGCCTCGCCTATATAACAGCGTGTACAGAGCCAGTGGGTGGGTTCTGGAGACAGTGGGAGAACCCCGTGCATGTGCACAAAACTTGGCGCCACGACGGTGCATATGCGAGCCAGGCTCGCGAGGCTCGAGTCACTAGTTGACGAAGCCTGCGGACTTTATGTCCTTGGGTGACTGCGGTCACGGGGGAGCGATGCTGTGTGCGTGCTCCGAGGTGAAGAGTGGTTGAGTGCCACGATTCACACCGATTCTCAATCGGATAAGATCGCTCCTGCGATCGAGGCAAACCAGCCATTGGTGCGCCAGAACGGACTTTGTGTCCCAGCGTGACATCCGGTCACGGAAGCTAGGCTTTGTGCGCGCTTCAAAAGTAGAAGTGGCGAATGCCACAATCAAAACCATCTTCAATCGGGTTTGGATCGCTCCCGCGATCAGGGGATAGTAGGTCTATCAGAGCTAGGGTGTAAGTAGATTATTAAGTGTATATATTTGTTTTGTTTTCTTGTTAATAAATATATTTGTTATACGAAAGCTCTGTGTCTGTGGTCGCTGTGAGTATCCATGACGTCACAGTAGTTGTAATTTCATTATAATAATGTATGACATATGGTGATGGCAATTTTATTTTATAAGAAACAAAGTTAAAAAAGTTCTGCTGAACAGTTTCAATCCTATTTATATGAACTTGATAAAAGGGACATATTCTAAAGTTTTTTTTGATACAAGCACTAGTTATTGCACTCCAATGCCATAACAATCTTGTAATAAAATAACAATTTATCAATAAATGTTGAAACTTTATTACTTACCATATAATCCTCTAAAACATTTCGCAAATGAATCAACCATGGAAGTTCTTCAGCTTCTCCATCTGCATCGGGTGTGTATGACACATCATGAATTTTAAGCCTGTTTCCTAAATCAAAAACCTGCTGCATAAAATCTATTGAATATGAACTAGGCCGTGCAGTTATAGTACGTCCAATTACTTCCACATATTGCAAAGCTTCCTTAGGCATACCAGCTTCTACTAAACGTTTTGCATATAACAGCTTATAAACCTGAAAACAAATATAAATATTTCATCACCACCAAACATAAAACAAACAAGGCTCACTGCATTACAATTACAAAATTATACTTATAAAGAAAGGAATACACTATATAAATAAAATTTTAAGAAACAAATTAATAGTAGTTTATTACACAATATAATACAGATGCATTTTTATCAAAGGAAGCTTCATGATGGCTCAGGACCAAGTAACAAAATTCATTTCAGATGTGACTAAAAATAAAGCACACTCAAATAAACCTTAACAAATAGCATCCAAAGTATATAACTACCATGCATACAAACTATAATTACTGGTCCTACCTCTTAGACATTAATTTCAAATATCTCATTTATTCTAAAAATGAAAGACTTGAAACACAGTAAGTTTTACTTGCCCTCTACAAAGTAGCACTTCCCAACAGTATTTATAGATATTCTGTGAATATCATTTCAAGCAAATAAAATATCGTTTACGGAATAGAAAAAAGTAAATGAGATCCACAAGATAAAAATATTTAGAAAACATCTTCCGTTAGCTTTTTTCCGTAAGTTTTCTGAGAAATGCTTTGAAATGTTAAATATCATATAAATATATACCTGAAACTGAGGGACATCAAATTCAGGATCTGCAAGTTGACAAGCATAAATATATACTTCTGTCATCTGAATAGCTTCATTGTTTGCAAATATGTTGAATGGCTTTGTATGAGAAGATCCTATAAGGACCAATTTTGAGGCCTTTTGGTTATAAAATCCAAATTCCAACTGAGCCATCAAATAACAGAAATGGGCAGCATAAAGGCAACCCCTTGATGCTGAAACACAATAAACATTATTTTTTAACTAAACCAGCCTGGAAATTTAAAACAAGAGAAATTTTAGTGACTATTCCACTTGTGAAATATCAAATACCTATTAAATACCACTTGTGCTTTGGGAATTCTCAGAAAAATCACCATCCTCGCTTCGCGAGGGGGGAATTTATAAACAATTTCCAATGCACTCGTGGTATTACCTATGACAAAGTTCTCATGTGAAAACAAATACTTATCACGAGTGACTTACAACAGAAAAAAAATTGGGTACACTATTTAAATTAAGTTTTACAGCAAGTTGGATAAACATTCAGCGGTTTTTGTATAGTATACAAAACTGATACAAATATAATAATTAACATCTGATTTTAAACAAGGAGTGTAGTAAATATTTTCTCAAAAAACACACATTCATGCTACTGTGTGTTAATGTTAATTACATCCACATTATTGTTTCCGCGATATTGAAAGTTTAGATGATTCTTGCTTGATACAAAATATGTGAACTTTCATCAAAAGATAAACACAATCACATTTTTCTACACTCTTTCTGATTTTCCTGTTCAACATCTTCAAAATACTAAAGAACTTGGAATATTTTTCAATGGAAAATTGACCTCTGTGGATCACATCAATTATATTGTTAAACGTTGTTTGCGACATTTTGGTTGTGTGAATAGAAATAGTAGTGACTTTACTGTATTTTCAGACATGTATGACAGACAGACTGAACGACAGACAGACTGAACGACAGACAGACTGAACGACAGACAGACTGAACGACAGACAGACTGAATGACAGACAGACTGAATGACAGACAGACTGAATGACAGACTGATGAATGGATAAATACATCAATGAAATTAAAGTAAAATTTTCAGATGTGGTCACCAGATAAACATAAATAACTTTTTTTTACCCTTCTAACATTTTTAATCCCTATGAGGAGAAGAACTACAAATGAACAAGTTGTGAACTTCCTAAGATTAAAAATGTAAGGGCTTTCAGATATGTTTTCCCAAAGGCATTAGAGATTGGAGATGCAGCAAAATTGTTTTAGATAGCTCAAGTATGCCTAAGATTGTACAAGATCTTAGGCCCTTTGAACAAAAGTGTTATCTTTATACATCTAGTATTTGGCATCAAAAAAACTTTGAGAATATACAATATTTGAAATTCTTTAAAGGTATTTCTTGGATAATAAAAATGAATTTGAATTTAGTTCTATTAAAATTCTATCTTCAAATATTCGAGCACGTAATGTATATCTTTCCATAATGCCTCATTAAGAATATTCTCAAAAAATGGAAGTCATTCCACTTTGATAAAATATAGAAACAAAATAAATTGTAAAAATTCCTGTTCTCCAATTTCCTCACATGTTGTGCCAAATCACTCGCAGGATATATTAGTGACATTTGTTTCATGTTACAGCGCTTACTTAATGAACATGTTCCAGCACTAATAACATTAACAATAATCATAATCCTCAAAGAAAAAGTATCCTCAAGATCCTAAATGCTTACACCAACCAATAGCCATCTCAAATAGAATAATATCAACACTTGTCTACATTGTATCAGGCAAATTTATTGTTAATATATTCTTACCAAGAGTATCGCCCAAAGTGATAATGGCTCTGTGCTCAAGATCAGGTTGAACAGAGCTGTTTGAAAGAATCATGGCTAAGTGAGGTTTCCAATCACCCCACCTTTCATCTGCACAACACTGGAACAAATTTTGTGTGAACTTTAATTCCTTTTAGCACATTATAAACAATAACTTATTGTAAATCAACCTACAGTTACAGCTGCTGGAAGCCTGCCTGACATTAGCTGATACAGTGTTTGCAGAGGATCATTAAGTGTTAGACCGTTAGCAAAACGAGTCATGACATTGGCATAAGTCCTGCTGCCCAATTTGGAAGCAAGAAACAAGGCATGGCCCCATAAACCATATTTCATGGCCCATTCTGGAAAGGATAATACTAAAATTAGTCATAATTAACATAACCACAATTCCTAGGTAATTTTTTAAATGCTTATTACTGCCTTATTTAAATTAACATTAAATAATTTAGAAAACCTAATCATCAAAACTAAATATCTGAGTAATTATTATAAAATTATCTATCACACTTCACACTTCTAACACTATTACCACTACTACTGCCAGTAATACCTAATACAATAAAAGACATTTCAAAAATAAAAAAAGCCAAGACATTGACCATACAGTTTTTATAGACAGACTTAACACCAATAATAATTAAATACAATTCAACCTACCCAATGCTTCATGAGTGTTACCATAAAGCAAATATTCTCGAAAAGTATTAGCCAATTCTTCTTCACTTAGAGTTTTTGAGTTCACATGTTTTATTCCTGAGGTACCTTCTGACTCTGCACCACTGACAGAGGCAGGAGATACAGATCTTACACTAGGTGTAGATGAAACTGGCAATGAGGCATTTACACTTCCACTTTTTGGAACCTCACGTGATGGTGATTGAGACAACAGTAGCTCAGCAATATCAGTTCCAACCACCATCTAAAAAAGTAAGTGGTACATAACTATTCAAACACATATTACAGTCTAACTGTTTTCAAAAACAAAATAGGTCTCATTTTATCAAAGTTCACAGGATATTTTAATTTAAAACAGGACAGGGAATGGATGGCTCTTGACTTTCTGTATTGGTTCAGCATTGTAGCAGAAACTGGGAAGCTACTGCATTTTTGGTATATTATACCCCAGAAATAATAAAAAATTGTACAACATTTATTTTTTTATTTTTTAACTAAGTCATAACCACGATCTACAATTATGATGAAATAATCTTTTGTTTTTTTATAATTTTGATATTTATGAAGCTTTTCATTAAAGCCGAACTCTCTTTTGAAACTGACAATACTGAAAATATGTAAAAATAAAATAAAATAAAGAAAAACTTAACACCAGAAAATAATAATAAATGATGTTTAAGATAAAGAAAAACACAGGGAGAAATTAACCTAAAAAAGAACATCAGACTGGTGCTTTTGAGCATGGTATAATTGAATTTAAAGCCATTTTCTCAAAAGTTAACTTTTTAAATGTCAGTAAGCTGAAACAACATATATTCAGCACTGGAATTCTTTTCCATACATAAACTAGAAATATAAGGTTGGTGAATGAACCAAAATGAAACATTTGTGCACATTACTTCATAAAGAAAATTTGTTTTTCTTTTAAAAAACACACTTTTTAATATTCAGAAAAAAATTGTTAAAAATACATAAACATGTATGATACAACAACTATTTTGGTTCAAACACTGGTTCTAATCATCTGTATTTACAACAAAGAATGGAAGCAATGACGGTAGTAGTTTCAGCCTGTTTTTCTAATAAAGTTACCTTCTTAACCAAATTTTGGATAACTTTTTTCTCTAAATGTTTTTGTATTGATTATAAACATGCTGATTGAATACGTACAAGAAAAAAAAGGAAAATAATATTATGAAATTATGCATATTTGGCGTATAATATACCGTAATGTCAGAAAATTTTTGGGAATATCAAGAAAACTCTGGTATTTTTTACTGAACAAATCTCATTCAGAGAAACATACCACAATGCTGCTTTTAGTGTTGTGTGAGCCTTAATATTCACAAAATCAAATGTTTATATCTGAATTACAATAATCAATCAATTTGAAACAACCAATCATCAGTTTAACAACTTGCGATTTTATATTAAGAAAGAACTCCACAAAGTCATTGTCATTATCATCACAATGTTATTCATTGGAGTGCATTTACATTAGACCTCCTCACATCTGAACCTAAAAACATCCAAATATTTACACTGCTTCCCCCATTTTGTGCTTACTAGAACACGAGTACTATGAACACGCTACTGTGAATAAGTTCCACTGGCACAAGAAGAAAACACAGTGAGCTAGTGCTGTCAATAAAGGAACTTCACTGTTACAAATTTTGGGTGCCATTTGGTTAAAAAAAAAAGAAAAAGGGGGACTTTTACATAGTAGCTTTTAAATGGAGTCAATGTCATTTTCTTTACCCTCCATAAACATTACAAAAATGTTATGCACTGCTACATACTGAATACAAAAATTTGAATAACCACCATAAGTTGGACAATGGTAAATCCATTCTAAACTCTCTGGAGCCCAAGAGTAGGAGTTATAAATCGGGGCGAGAAAAATAGGAGGATACCCATTGAAGCGCCTTCAATAACAGAGATAAATACTTTGAAAAGTCATAAACATCTTTCAAAAGAGTATTAAGAAGAACATAAGAAGCTGTTATGTTGAAAAACAAGTACATTCTTTTTATTCGTTTTACATAAGTTCCAATTCTGTGCACAAACTAGCAAAAGTACTTGAGAGAGTCTAATCCATGCATTTTTAAAATTATTCCTTCATATTTATTGGTTGAGTCTGATTTGAGTTCTTGTGCCCTGTATTTCTGACATTCTTTACAGACATCCATTGCAGTTATTGTTTTAATTTGACTGCAATACAGTGTTTTTCTTTTTTGCCAATTATAATTTTCCACTTGTTAACAATCCCTTTTTTTAACAACAGAAACAATTCCATTAACATTTTACTCAAATAAGATTTATTTCAGTGAACCATACCCCGTTTTGTCGAAGTAGCAGCAAAAGCAATCGCCATAACAGAACCACAGAATCACGTTCCAGATTATTAGGATCGTGCTCAGCTACATTTATTTTCCGAGAACAAAAATTCATCAGAGACTTCTTATGAGTTACACCTCTGAAAAAATATCAAAAAATACATACCAATAAATTAGTCCTTCAGAAAATAAATTTTACATTCTTGCAGGAACACAACAATAAATGTTTCTTTTCAATTTTTTTTTCTTTACATACTAATATAATTAACAGCACAAATATCAAATATACATGTATATTACTTTATAAGAGGTCCTGGAAATGATGCAAGCTCAGCATCCGGAACAAGCACATGACGTAAGTCATGTATCTCCACAGTTGCCGACTGCCCATCCAGCGGATAATGCGGTAAAATTTTGATGAAGTGCCCACTTCCAGTAAACAAACCTAAGACATTTATAAAAATGCTTTCAATGTGAAAGAAAACAAAAACAGGTATTTTAGTAATTAAAATGCATTACATTTACCTTTAATGTGAGCAGTGGAGAATTTGGCAGGAGTGAGCCTTTGAGGAGTGGTAGAAGTTGTAGTTTCCTCCATTACTGACATATTGTGTTCAGCACTTCTGTCAACACAAATATTTCAATAAGCATATTTCAGTTGCTGTAATTTCAATAAAGATGTCACAGCCGTCACCCAAGGAAAAGAGATGACACCCCAATCACCAATTGCATTAAAACTTGTAACTGAAACATTAATTACACAAAACACCCATTCCAACATGCTAAAGTGAAATATCTTCTCTGATGATGAAGTTGTTCCTCAAAAATATAAAGGAAATACGTTTTTGTAATTAGTGATATTTTTAAAAATATTTTCAGTTAATTTTTATATTAATTACTTATTGGTACCCATAAATACATTGATGAAATTCTAACTGACAATGTCAACAAAAAGGCAACAATCCAACCAGAAATTTCAATTCTGTTAGCAAATCTTATCCAAATTTGTATAATAGGACTAATTCATACACAACAGCAAAGTCAGTCAAAACACAATGTCTTTGTGACAGTACCCATAACCACCCATACCCAACACGAAAACGAGATAACAGTTCATTTGTGTTCACACCAGAAGTTGTATGGAATATTTGAGATCTTCATGGAGATGAAGAAGAGGAGACTCACATTTTAAAGGCACATTCGGAGAACAAGAAAAGACAAAACCAGAAAGAGAATATTCCCATTCTAGGACGAGAGAAAATCACATGTTCCTTCGGGGAAAAAGTTTGCAAAATTACAGAAAAATATGGAATAAAGGAAGAAGATATAGGAAACATAAGTCCACAGCACACACATTTTAAAGATGTAAGATCGGTATGAAGTGAAATCAAAAACTAAAAGGGTATACTCAGAAGTAGAATGGGCAAGAGTGAGCCAAAGATTGAAGAACTATTGATGAAAGATAGAAGAAGAAAAATTTCAGTATAGTAATAAAAGGAGCACTTAAGCATTGAACTAAAAAACAACATTGTTTTTATTTTATTCTATAGTCCAATATTATTTCATGTACTTTAATCAAAATATATTAGCATAGTATAATACATTATATCACAAATTATTCTTTCCATAACACATATTTTACATTTTCTCTTCCCTTTAAAAATTGTGTTCTAGTGATTGAAAGAATTATAGCACATGGATAATGTACTTTCATTCCACCAAGAAATATTCATGAGGCAAAACAGGTATGTTTAATCCTCAGACAGCAACTAAACTTTCACATTAGCCCTGAAAATCTCTTTTTCAATTCTATATTCCAGCAAATAATTGAATGATGTTTCTATTTATGTACTTTTTAATATTTTCCCCAATATATTAATTACATTTTACAAGAGTATTACTTGGAATTGAATATGGGAGATTTATCATGACAATTAACTGTTCTTATTTTCTGAATTTACATTACAGATCTTTCTCCATTCCCATGCCATTGTACAAAAGGTATATCCTTAACAATGGAACTTGACCCTTTACACACAAGACTATACTAGTCATATTTAATTGGAATTTGATAATAAACTATACATATATATATACACATATATATATATATATATATATATATATATATTATATATAATATATATTATTAATATATATATATATATATATGGGTAAAGGGAAAATATGGAATCAAGGAAAAGATACATTCATTACACACCTCTAAAGCATTATTCCAAAGAAACAAACACTAGGTTGCTCTGTAATAAATGAAGTGTATCAATTATTAGCTGAATAATATTTTATGTATAATTTTTATAGAGCATCTCATCCAGTGCATATGAAATGAAATTCAGGGCCCTTTTGAGTGGTAGGAAATTAGGCTGTGGAGTGTGAATTTTCTGAATAAAAAGAAAATTATGACAGAAATTAGAGTTCAAGTGTTTCTAGAGAAATTGACATCAATTAGAAATGAAAGCATATAAAAAAGACAAAAAAAGTAAAAAAAAAGTTCTACTTATGCATTTGGATGACGATATGCATCCTATATGAAAATAAAAATGTAATTCACAAATGGAGGCACAGAGTCTACTCTTGCTCTGAAAGATACAGGACATGCCATACATTATTCTAAATGTATGCTGCATGTATGTATGTATAATGATAATGCCTCTTTATTTGCAGGAATGCCAGAAATGTGTTCAATTAGTTTTCTTAACATTTTCCAATTTACATTTCCGAAACCATGAAAGCAACATGGTGTCAACAGAACTTTTGACATTTGTGAGACAAGGATTTCATTAAGTGCTATTTTTTCTTCAAAGAAAATAGCCATCAGTTATACATAAAATTGATGGTCTCTGTGCCTGCATTTCAATGTAGCATTGATAGGAAGCCAGAAGCAAACTTCAAATTTGATAAAATTGCAACCTATACACAGTATTGCTAACAAATCAAAACCATGGTGGTTCCCGAAACAACTAGTTATCCACAATGATGATTTCTACAATGCATGTATTTAAATCCAAAACAGCGGATAATCAAGATACAGACACGAGAGGAGCAAAATGAGGTAACTTTCTGAAAATCTTAAGTGAAGAAACCCTGAGAAATGGTTTTATGGGAAATTAATAAAAATGAAATGAAATGGGTGCCAGAACATTTGAATACATGAGTAATATGAAAGTTTTGTGACTTGAGGAGGGCGCTAGTTACTACCTGCACTGCAATAATCTCAAATCAAAAATTTAGAAGAGAGAAACAATTTTAATTGACTGACAGCAAAAACAATTGAGCCTCAACTGTTCAAAGTAAAATGTTGACACTTGTTATATAGAATAGATGAAGTTAGTTATACTGAATATTTTGAATGTAAATCCTTTGGAAAGCGCTCAAGCAAAAATCTAACAAGAATGATGAGGTGAATTGTGGAAGGATTCTCCTCCTCATGGCAGAGCACTACCTTACATATCACATATCACGTCTCATACTTTACAAACATTGAACCAGCTGAGGTTCAAATTAGTTTTAAATCAATGGATCCGCATTGAAATTTATAGTAATAACGTGAATATTATTTGGTGTTGCGGATTGTGCATGACAAGTTTGGGGACAATTTTTTAATGAAGGAAGGACGCGAAGGCCAGAAAATTTCTGTCAAACCATACACATGCTGTCAATAATGTCGCATAGGCTCCCAGTCTACTGCACCATCTAATTGGATTGTAGAATATTCCATAGATTAGTTTTAAATATTTTTTTCGTAATCTAAAAGTCAATCAATATACCATTGATGAAAAATAGATTCATTTATTGTAACAATTTATAAAATATCATTCTTTTGTTTATTATATTTTTAAGTTAATTTGTTAATATAAAAATGTCTGAATAAGAGGAATTATGTCAGCAAATGAAAGTTTTTAAAAATTAATATCAGCATCATGTAACACTAAATTATGAACCCCCTACCCCTCTGTAACGCAGCATAACGTTGCCTCAAACTCCCACCCCCCTCTTCAGCTTTACGTAATTTGTGGACGACACCTTTATCCCAAAAAATTTTACGGAACTTTCAAAGTTATTTTAACATTTTTCTAAGCGAATAGTCATTGTTATTAATTGTTAACAACTAATTTATCAAGAACAATTCAGCATGATTAATTCAGCAAAATATAAAACCTTTGCTTACAGCTTATTCAAGATGTTCCAACAGTAAGTTAATGAATTGTTCAATACGCTTAGAAGATGATTCTCATACAATAGATACAATAAAGGACTTAAGAATTAATACCCAGGGTACCTACACACCACAAGTGCTATAATCAGACTATACAATAATCATGCATATTTTTTCTTCCCAAAAAAGTCAGTACATTGTTTACAATATTTTAAGTGAGAAAAATAAAAACCTTTACTGCATCTCTTATACAACTGGTTTCATTAGGTGGACACGAGACAAACTATATTATACACGAGACATGCTACAAGTGCCTTTAATTGGTCAAGAAAGTGGAGTGCAGATGTTTTCGATTAATGAAAACTATATGAATAAACTTGACAAATGCTGTACTTTTAATCATCAATTACTCCTATCTTTTGTATAAGCCTTATTACTCTATTTTTCTAGATATCTTCAAAGGTAAAATCCTTCAGTGAGCAATTTATTAAATATTAAAATATATTTATTAAAGTCACATTAGTTTAATTAATTACGTAATTACAGGATGGATGAATGCTGAAAAATTAAGACTTCTTGCTGAACTATTATTTTCTTGCTCCTTAATATCATCATAATTACGTTATTTGTCACTACCCTCATCTTCACGTGTTTCAACGTTTCTTTCTTTTTTTTGTCCTTCCATGCTGTGACATTTTCTGACTTTTTAGACCCCTCTTGAAAGTTTTGCGGACTAAATTTTGCGTTGTTTATAGTCTTTCATCAGACACATCTAAGAACATTCCCTTCTGTCACCAGATATTCTACACATCTCGAACTTGCTACGGCCTGTGTCTCTGATCAAAACGCAGATTCGCAGTCGCCGGGCGTCGAACCGAGATTCCGCGCGGGCTCGTCGAACACGCATCGTGTAACAAACTCTTAGCATTCATTTTCACGTTACGTTTCATTTTAGACAATTCTATTCAGTTAGAGGTTCTCTTTACCGGCCCATTCACATATATCGTTTTGAATAGGCCGACGAATAGGCGGTGGACGCCGAGAATACAGTCGCGAATACAAATTGGGGATACGCGGGATATTTTTACAGTCTTCGCAGTTCCAGTACGTCAACTTTTACGAGTTTCGTGACATGGAATATCAATTTAAGAAAGTAAATCATTATCGACAAGGTTTAATCGTCGAATACAAGACGATCCCGCATTTCTCGACTGAGATATTTCGGATAAAACTTCGTCTTATATTCGAATAAATACGGTCTGTGGATTAGATTGAATAGGAAATGATATATTTTTAATTTTCTTTTTGCCAGCCAAGGCCCTCACACTATACTACAAATGTCCTATTTTGAAAAGCACAAATTTTGCCAGCACATTCAGTCATTTTTAAGTTTTTTTAGAAGGGTCAGAAATATCAGAGCTTCACCATATTTTTGGAAGAAGTACACACCTATTCCTTGAGCTTTAATTAACAGAATCCAATAGTTAATTTATTGATTTGCTAGCATGAGTACCATTTCAATAATTTCATATTATCTACAACAATCAATGAACGTCAACAATATTTGTACCTCCTTTCTCTAGAATGCTTTTAAATTGTTTCTAAAGCTTTTGTTGTCATTTTTGACCTTCTAAAAAGAATTATGGTAGAGGTATCAGAATTTTATTAAGCTACTTTTGTTTTCAATTTTACCGGGGGAAATACTTTTTCTACCAATACAAAACTATCAAATGTAACTGACAAAAATGTATGAATTTCAATTTTTCAATTACTATTGTTTTAATCATGTTAAAATTATAATTTATGTTATGTTAGATATTTATTAAAAATATAATAAGTAATCAGGCAAGCATTAAAGTAATAGTAATTTCCTGCACCATTCATTGCTATTTATTATTGCAGAATTTTGAAAATTACACCAAGTATCACAGGAAAACAAACTTTTACACAATAAACTATTCATTTGGTTAAAATATTTCATATACAATATACATACAATAATTCATTATATATTACCATGAAATCAAAGCAAACAAGCACAAAACCAAAAATAACCTTAATAATACCTTCCATTAAATTTTTTAACAACAATCTCAAATTACTATTTTGGCAATAATAACAATGATAACGACAATGACAAACAATGATGATATACACGTTCTCTGTGATCCATGCAAAGTCACGAACTAATCAAGCACAAATTAACGAGCTAACATAATTAACACTAATGATAACTGTTTTTATTTTACTACAGAACGAATTACAAGAAGTGTCTACTGGAGAACTGGTCAAAATAATATAATCAATCTACTAAATTGTTCTATCACTACCAGATAAATAAAAAATGAGATGGAACTCTAACGCTACAAATTTCCCCTCTCACCTATGGTTGTCATAGTCTCCAGTTAATGAACTTGATCGCTGCTGGTAGTAGTAATCATATGAATGGAGATACTGAGGATGTTGGTATCTGAAAACACAACTGGAACTGAGAACGCATAAATGGAAAGGGGTACATGGGTAGGTACTGCAATTTTGATTCCAACAATGCAAGGAATTAAGTTTTCGTGACCATAAAATTAAAACTCTTCTCTAAATTTGTATCAACCCTTTAACAGATACACACATCATAATAAAAATGAAAATTTATATTCATACATGAAACTCCAAATTAAAACAAACACACTGGGCTTTAAAAATAGCTTCAAAATAACAGGGTATGTTTTAATACATTAGGAATAGTATCAAATCTAAAATCTGCAAATAACAGCAAATAACAACATTTTCAATAATCATCATCACTAAATCGATACTACATAGACTTTGTACTCCTGTGGTCGCCGAAGGGTTCAAAAATAAATACTTTTCCCTGTAGCTTTACAATACTTTCCCTCTACTATATAGTATTCAAGAAAGTTAAAACAACATGGTATCTCTGAGAAAGTCACAAGGCTTCTGCCAAAATATAAATGAAAATATGGCACATCTGGTTAACCAAGGCAATAATCTTGATATTTAAAAATAAATACATACATGAATCTATTACAGCACAGTTCTGAAACATCCAGCAATTTCATTGGTTCACAATACTTACAATACAAGTTATATACTCCCTGATATGGAGGATGGAAGAAACACACAGGACAGATAGGGTGGGACATGCAGAGCTGTTTAACAGACAAATGAGAAATATACCTGGACCAATGCTGAGTAATACTACTTGAAAGTAAAATTAAACTAATCCCTATACAAAGCCAGCCAAAAGCCACAGAACACAAATTAAAATGCTATAAAATGTAAGGAGTTCAGGAAAATTTACTGGAACAATAGAGGAAAATACTGTTCAAGAGAAATTGCAATACAGAAAGATTTTTTCACATTCTGCCAAAGGAACTCACAGAGATACAAATTCAATAGGATGGGATTTCTGTCTTACAGATATTCTCCAGGAGAGTAGTTATATATCAATTTGGCTTATGAAACCAGACAATTGCATATTACCAATGCACGCTTCCATGATCTAAAAGTCAGCCTTATACGAAATTCACAAATCTACAAGCAATGTTATGTCTACATTTTTGGGGAGCCAGAGATTAAATTGATTTTCTCACTGAGCACAGACTGGAAATTCTACAGAGTAACATGACACATTAAGGAGTTTATGGTAAGCAAATCCTTGAAAACGTCCAAGACATTAGACATAGTACCCAAAGACTGCAGTTCCTTGAAAATGTCCCTCAACTAGGTGTAATGTTATCACATCAAAATGCAAAAAAAACAGCTCACATTAAGAATTTTGGAGATGGTTAGGTACTAAACAACCCTATCCATAGCCTACACACTGATCTTGTTCATTTCAGACCACTGAAGTAGAGAGTGACATCAAAAGTTGATGAATGATTACATGGAACATGGATCATTTTGGTACATGATGGCAAAAGGCATGAAGACTGACATTGTCAAGTACTACAGTTTATACTTCCCAGCCATGTAACATTCACAAGAGATTCAATTATCCAAAAATATTCATAAATTGAATGCTTGTATGTTTAGGGTGCATTATTGTACCCACCCACAAAGAATGTGGCATCTTATATACCACATTGAGAAGGGTCAACATTGATTTTATCAGCAGGGATAGATTTATGTGAATGCCTAGATTGATAACAACCACAATTGATGTACATCTTAGTGTATGGAAACTCCGTGTACAACAGGCTGGACCAGAAAAGGCAGCACACCATGCCAGACTGTTGGTGGTAGGGATTCTGGATTCGACACAGACCCCTCCATCACCTGGCCATCACGAATGTCTAACCTCAAGACCATCTCCTCCAAGTCCTACTGCAAGTCCATATACGACACTGCCAGGCAATATCCATGACATCTTTACAAAAATACCATGCAGCTGTGGCTGTCTTCTCACCACCAAAAAATGCAGGGGGGATGGGGGAGGGGAGGAGAGCATTGCAGAATTTGCCCATAAGTGCAAGGGACATATTGATAATGTGTTCAAGAACAGTGTTGGCCACAGCAAATGAACTTGCATTAACCATAAAGGTGGTAGAGTTATTCCTCGAGTTTTCATAGCCTTTGGAAACCACACAACCCATCTGCCCTTAATTTATCACCTATTCAGCATTCCCTTTCTCTAGGAAAGATATCTCCATAAAAAGGGTCAATAGTTTCCTACTCCTTATTGGGAAAATAACTTTGTCATTACTCACAGTATAATTGTTTTCAATGAGCATACATCAACATAAATTACGGCACAAGACACCTCATGTTTAAATAATCATCTTACTTAAGTCAGCACCCATTGCCTTAGGTCAACATTAGCCAGTATGAACCGATTCATTTTTCAGTATTTGCACAGCTTTATCCACATCATCTAGCTAATGAGTGAATCAACTAGCCCCTCCTAATGTTAGCCATAGTCATAGCCATAAAGTTTATACCACATACATTCTACATACTGTTTATACTACATACCTTGTTCATCTGGACCATTCTTGTATAAGACAATTGACATAATAGATTTTTTGCAATGGGTGAAACTACATAACATTAACCGCTAACAGATTACCGTTTAACTTTTCATGCTCTGATAGCCTTTTGCACATCGTTTCCTTTTTAAGTTGTTACTTCATTGCAAGTTGGACTGAACTGTAATGGCAGTGTATTGCTATTGCTAAAATTGCAAATCCATACATTGTATTGCTGTGAACTACATATTTATTTTCACATCCATCAGCTTATGCAACTAATTAATGACCCCAACACACACTGCAGATACTAACTGAAATCACTTCCAGTACCATGTTTGTTATTAACAATACAGGACCTGACAAATAAAGTGAAATATTTTACTTCAATATTTCTCTAGAAAATATGTTGCCATAATAATGTTCTAGGACTATCAAAGAGAAGAGAAAAGCCTGAATCATGTTGCTGGAGGAGCACATATCAGAAACCTTTACAATTACACCCATCATAATAATGTGTCTGTCTTCCACTACTAAAAGGAATAAAACATCACATTATGGAAACTTGAAATGAGCTAATAATAAAACAAACTGACTACAGAGAAATTGAAATACAAGGATAATTATTCTTCAAAAGTACTAAGAACTCAACATACTCACCTATCAACATTATGTCGAGACAATTCATCATGAGTTGAACTGCGCCCAGAATGAACAGATCCACGGTCTTCAGGCATTGATGAGCCATGAGCAACATGTTGTTGTTGCTGTTGCTGTTGTTGTTGGTAATGTGGATGTTGCTGCATGTATCGCTGCCATGCCATATAGTAACGGTAACTATATTCATCATACATTGCTCGTTGGTTATAATAATACCCTGAAATCAAAATTATAACATGAACATAGCAAAAGTAATATCAATCTACATTCCTAATTAACAATATTCTGAGTACCTCCATATTGATGATAATCTCTTCTTCGCTCATCATCAAATTCAGGTCGAGATCCAGATCGGCTAGATGGGCGGGATCTACAAACATTTGAAATCATTACAGCACATTACCCTGTCTTCAAATCTCACTAATACCTATACACTAAATAAAATGAAACGAATATCAATTAACTTCCTACAACAGTAGACAATATTTTTTAGTTACTCACTGCACTGCATAAAGAGAAGAATTAAAAAAAGTAATTCAAATTATAAGAAATATGAATTATTATCAATATTATGAATATTCAGTAATACATCTTACCCTACAATTAGAATTACAAATAAAATTAATAAAACATAAATCACTCGTAATGGCTCATTTCTTACATGGGGAGAGATAAATTGTACTGGGAAAGGGTTGCTCAGAGAGCATCATTCTATGTTGAACTTGAAAAACTCAAAATTATTATGTACAGCTCCTGCTGACCTTTTCAAATAATAAATGAAGTTATAAAAATATATTTCATGAAAGAAAACTATTGTCTCTAAATGTCTCTCACATTCTATGTATCTTTACTTTAAATTTCAAAATATTTTCAAACTAAAGACAAAATTATGAATGTTCTAGAATTCATAACGTCGATGCATGGATTAATGTTCATATATTTTAGAAACATTTCACATATTGCCAACATTCCATCAGTAACATGTGACTAGATAAATGTGCACATCATGTCTGATTTCTCTGTTACATTAGTTAGTAATAATTAGAGTTGGGAAGTTTGGCAAATTGCCTTTATGTTATTTTATGACGTAACAATAGGATGCACTTCTGGGAGTTGTTTTAGTAGATTTTCAATTGTCATTTTTTGCCTATTGCACCGATGCACCTTTCATGGATCAATTCTTATTTTCATAACACAGTGCAGTGTGGTTCTTCGAATGGTATCCATTCCAACTCTTATCGTGTACCATCTGGAGTCCCACCGGGATCTCATACCTGCATACTTTACTTTTCAACTTGTTTATTGATTATTCCCCTACTACCTTAAAACAGTAATATCCTTCTTTTTGCTGATGACGCTAAGATGAATCATTCGATAGTTGATACTAATGACACTAAGTTTCAACTTGATTTACTACCTGTTAAAAATTGGTGCCTTGGACAGAGGCCTTGGAGTTATCTTGACAATTAACTTCATTTCAACAACCACATTAACAGTATTGTTAACAAAGTTCTTTGATCCTTGGGTTTTATCCTGCAAAACTAATCACAATTTTCAACACTACACTTCTCTTTAACTCGCTGGTTAGGTCCATTCTGGAGTATGCCTATCTGATTTGGTCTCCCATCACTGGGAAGACCGTAAATCATCTTGAGAAGGTCCAACACAGGTTGTTGTGCATCCTAGCATTTGGCGATGGATGCCCTATCCTGCGGTTTTGACACAACTACATTGATTACTAATCATTGTCTCACATTTCTCATCTTCGGGTGAGAAGAACAATCTATGGCCTATCTTTCTATTTAAAATTTTGTCAGGTGAAATTAATTGTAACAATTTTCTCCCTAATATCAGATTTCGAGTCCCTTGCGTGTCAACATGTAATCCCTTATTATTGTCTGTCAAACCTGTGAAAACTGACCATGAAATGAATGATATCTTCTACCGTATTGCCTGTACTGCTAACAAGTATTGTAAATGAATTGATTTTTTCAACATTGACTTTATTGATATGCGGACTCTGATCATCCTTTTCAAGAATTGTGTCAATTATCGTGATATTATGTGATATTTACATGTGATATGTTAAAAATAATTAATTATGGTAGCGCCAATTCAGGCCACATCATATTGTACTGTTGTCTGTATATTTCCTTAAATAAATAAAAATTACTTACTCAAGCTATGTTCGTACTATTCGAGAATTGCTCTATGAAACCACCTCATTTGTAATTAGATATTGATCCTAAATTTACTCTTTGTAACTCCATTAACAAATGTGTATCTTATATGTCCATATTATAATCACGTGTATTAAAGGGAATATCCCGTAAACAAATACATAAATTATTAATAAAAGTTGAGTATTTATGTTCTGCATTTCATTATAGAAACAAAAGTAATTTCCAGTCAATTACTTTTTCACATGATTTACACTATCTTTTCATAAACCCTTGACAAGTGTAAAAGGAGATTTACTATATTATATTAAATATCAACATACATAAAAAATACTGGTTCAACCACTGAAATGAACCTAACACAACAGATTTTAGAGTCTAATAATCCTAAGCTAATCATTACATTAATAATTCCCATGCTATTTATAATTACAAAATAACCAATACCTTTCCACTTGAGGGAGATCAGAAAATCAATCTAATATCAATAACTCAATGCATTCAGTCTCTCTAAGAGTGCAATGAATTTAGAACTACAAAACACTAAAACATTTTACATTTATTTAAATTCAGCATACTACAGTTGCACAAGTAAAATTCCTTTTGAATATTCTTTTTTTATATAGGATACATGGAGAAATAAACATAAATTTTTGTTATAGCAAACCTTACTTCGTTGGCTCAAGGAATTTGCATTTTAAGACAACTCAATCACTTTTTTAATGAAAAGGGAGGTTAAAAAGTCTTATCAGCTCAGGTACTACTTCTCTACATTCAGGAAAGATATTTTCGGAAATCAGTTCAAGTACATTGTTTTGAAATTTCTATACTTCCTCAGATGATACACTTTGAATTTATCAATATCATCTTTTGTAAAGAGTAAGTTCACAATGCTTCAAAACTAGTAATCAATTCATCAATTAATTTTTTATTCTTCATTATTAATAAATAAAAGAGATACTGTAGTCCTTAAAAAATATGATTACAAGGTCTTACCTCTGCCCATAATAGTCTTCATAATGACCATAGTACTCATCGGGACGACGGTAATCTCGATCGTATGGATACCGCCGATCATAATATCTATCTCTTTCTTTATCCCTCTCACGATCTCGATCTCTCACACGATCATGATCTCTCTCTCTATCACGATCTCGTTCTCTCTCTCTATCACGATCTCGCTCTCTCTCTCTATCACGATCTCTTTCTCGGTCCCTGTCTTGCTCACGGTCCCGGTCCCTAAAAGAAGTAAAAGGACCCTTAAGTACAATATTATTTAATAGACATTTCCATATTCATTAAACAGACTATATAATTTTAAAAATCAAAACCAAACCTGTAATCACGTGCAAGTGAATCAGAAGGTTCCCTATGTCTGCGAGGATAATAACGGCCATGTTCATCTTGATCTCGATACCAAGACTTATCAGATGGAGGTCTTTCTCGATCGCGTTTACGTTTTTGTTCACTTTCGCTATTATATTCTTCTTTTTCGTCATCATCATCCACATGTTTATATCTGAAAAAAAATCAAGACACATCTTTGCCTTTGATTTTTTTATACAGAGGATGTTTTGCTCTCATGGCTTTTAAAATTTCAATTATAAAAACATTCTTTCTATAGTTTTCAACAAAAATCAATACTTTGCTCCAAAAAATTACTTAATAAAAGTAATAGACATATATAAAAAGTGGAGTACGAAACAAATATATTTATTGCTTCAATCAATCCACAAAGATAAATCCACATTTTAATACAAACCTCCTTCCTTGACGTGCCTGTTCATCATAATGCCTGTGTTGCCCATATTCCTGTTCTTCAAATCGGCCACGTTCTCTATTATATGGATATCTATTTCGAGGTGACTTGTCTTGATCACGGTCGTACATGTGGTCTTCTCGCTCATAATGCCGCGGATCACGATCTTCTCGATACCTCCGGTTTTCAACAGAATGATCAAGAGGTCCTTCTCTTTCACGAGTATTCACTGAGCTGAAATATTCACGACTGTTTCCATGACGATTTAAGTCAACACTACCAGCATCATCATCATTACGTCGTTGGCTATCTGCATCTCTTCTAGATCTACAAATTTGAAATGTACCCAACATAATGAAAGATCAGAATCATCAAATCATACTGGATTTGAGGAACATTGGAATACATACATTGAATCTGAGGTGACATTAGGAAAAGCTTCAACACAATCTGAACCAATAGTTTCACTTCTTTCTGAAGGAAGTTGAGCACGTTCTGCAGCTGAATCTTGACCATCTGCATCTATATCTGTAGTTTCATGGCCATCTGAAGATGCTAAAAGTTAAAAAGATATAAATTATATTAATATAAAATATTACAAACACATATCTGAACATTAAACATATCTGGAACTTCCAATAACAAAAGATGGATAATGATGTTTAAAAAAACATGAGATTAAAATAAGACAATATGTGATGACAAAAATGACACTTTTGTGGACAATGGTAGGACATAGCAAATAATTTTAACAAATTCTTTGTAGAAGTTGATACGAAGTTAGCAGAAAAATTTGATGTCTCTCCTGACAAAGTTGAATTGGATTTGGTTTGCTTAATTCCAGAATCTATACATTTATCAAACCTACAAATGAGTAAAGAAGAAAAATAATAAACAACATGAATAATAAGAAATCTGCCAGTGTTGAATACATCATGCCGGTTGACATAATTAAATATATCTCCCATTTCATAATTAAACCACTGGCTTGGATAACTAATAAAAGTATTGAAACAGATATTTTCCCTAACCATTTTAAAAAAGCGGATGTAACTCCAGTGTAAAAGTCTGACAAGAGAGAGATTGATCAATCTCTTTGATATCAAAGTTCGCAAAATTTTGGAAAAAATACATGACTAGATTTAATCAATTCATACATAAAGAAAACATAATAAACTCCATGCAATTGGTTTGCAGAGAAGTGCAAGCAACAAAGATGCTATTAGACATAGAGCAAATTCAATTTATGATGCAATTGATAATAATGAACCCTGTGTACCTGTTCATTTGGATCTGGTGAAAGCATTTGATACAGTGAACCATACATTACTGTTGAGAAAATTATATAGATTGGGATTTAGAGGAATGGCATGTGATCTGATTGAGAGCTATTTAACTGGATGTAAACAAGCAGTGAAGGTAAATATGAGACTAGCACAGAACTGACAGCAACTTCTGGAGTACCACAGGGATGGTATGGGTCTCTTTATTCATTATATTATACAGTAAAATCTGTCTAAAATGTACCTTTAAAAGCTGGTAACCTGTCTTAATCAGAAATTTTCTCCGGCCCATGAAGTTAAACGGTTTTCTACACAACATGAAAACAGAACATGTCCAGCGCAGAAATGGAACAGTTTTTAGGTTCTACAAGGAAAAATAACTTTACAAAATGGAATTCCTGTGACTTCAATGCAATCAGCAGAGAGATGCAAGATATACTTAATGAAAAGAATGCATATGCAAGTCCGTTTTAAATTCTGTCCCCTTGACATGCACTTTAGTCATGGCAAGCACCCAGTGAAAGGGAGGAGCTTCGGCTGTCGACGTAGAATTCGACCTTGGGGTCACTTGCCTCTCAAGGCATAGGCCACTGAGAATTCTCTCCCTCCAACCTCTGAGTGTGAGCATATCTTCTGTTCTACCACTTCCTTGCCCCTGCATTGAGAATCTAACCACTCAGCCAGAGATGCATTGCTTAAGACCTTGCGGTGCTATCAGAAAGACAGTATTCTGGGCTGTGAGTCATTGTGCTTTCAAAGGATCAAAGAGCAGTCCAACTGCAGCCACTAGGCAGTGACGTGGTATGTAGTTTTATGAGTTTAACAATGGCTGGAAAAAACAACACTCTAACTTTAGATGAAAATGTTGACTCAACCTCATAGAAGAAAGCAAAATTCATATCCTCCCAGTGATAGCTCTTCAAGAATTATTCAAGTGTGGAAATACACAAGTATATGACACACTCAACAAAAAAAAGGCTAAAATAAATAAGAATTGGAAGAAACATGTACAGAAATCCAGAGTCTTACTTCATTCGCTTCATAATATTTCTTGCAAAAAATTAATACTGAGCACTTCTCTCTATTTCTAACATACACTGATCACTGATATCACTTTGCAGTTAAAAAAGTTTGCACTCACTGCTAATAATCCACAACTATTACAGACTTTTTTAAATTGCAGAAAAAATAATTGAAACATGAAATTATATCTTTTAAGGATGATACTGGATTGATTGTGAACAAAGTACATGGGTGGAAGAAATACTTACAGTAGAATGAAAGTTAAAATTGATAACTAAATGGTTTTAGAAGTATTTTAGAATAGAAATGTGTTGAAAAGAGTGAAAATGGATCGCACATAGACCGATGCTTCTGCCAGTTTTTGTAATTGTATTATATTATACTACGCGAATAAATTGATTTGAATTGAAATCTATCGACTTTAAAATATACTTTTGAAACTCATTAGTTTAAGAAAAATATTGAAGATTAACAAAAGGCATGAATTTAAACGATTCACTCACCACTAGGCATTGATGATGTAGATATAGGTGATGTTAATTGACCTACACTATTGTCCAGCTCATCTTGTGCCACTCCTGTAACTACTCTTGGTTCATCCGGGACTGGTCGAAACGAATTGGAAGTTGTATTACTTGTTCCCAAAGTTTGACGCCCTTCTTCTGCCAGTCCAGTCACAACACGAGGCTCATCCGGAGCATTTTCTGCAGAGCCATCATCACCCCCCTGACCCTCTGGGCCACGTGACTCTCCAGGCACCATGCGACTGAGACCTGGAGGAGGAGTATCGTCATCTCCCTGAACAGCAGAAACAACTGCCCCACCAGGCATGGCCAATTGGTGGTCCCCACTTGTCTGGCCAGGCACAGTTCGATGCATGTACACGGAACCAATTGGCCCCGTCATCGACGTTGGTAGAATAGCCTCTCCTGCCACTGGTCCACCAGGGACAGCTCGAGCAGATATATCTTCAACAGCACTTGATGACCCTGGCTGTGATCCAGGCACGACAGATGGCAAACTGTCCTGGTGACCTGGGACTTGCCTTTTAGCAATATCTTCAACATTAGTATTTGAAGTTGAACTGCTGAAACTAGCTGGCATCAAAGTACTGCTTGGTTGAGGATTCTCCTCTCCTTGTCCAGGCACGATTCTGTCCAACTCACTGTGCACAGGGTTACGATGCACATCGTTTGTATTACTCATTGGTGCCCTGTGCCAGCTACTGTTTCTACCTGCAGCTTCTGAGTCTATTGGAAAATTATCGTGAGAAACTTGCTCCAAAGTGTATACACCAGGAGTATCCAAGTACACTTCTTGATTATCAGGTAACCCAGACTCCTGAGGCCAAATACTTGGATGAGAAATAACTGCATCCTGAAACACCAAAATTTGGAGACATTGATAAACAGAGTTTCATTTCAGTAGTATTTCAAATGCATTAGAAATAAGAAGTCATTTCAATGCCATCAAGTTGTTGAAGGTAAACCAAGATTAATTAAGCATTTTCTAGGAAACAAAGTCAGACAAAAATCAATCTATCAGTATTTTAAAGAACACTAAAAATTACCAGAAAAATTAATGAGATAAGAGATATTGAAACTCCAAAACAGTCAAAATGACTGATTCTATCATGCTGATACTATGTACAGACATGGTAACACCGTTTTATTGCACTTTAAATACACAAAGCATTTTTGCATGTAAACACTTAAATACAGTACACACTCTCATTTAAAATCATGTAATTCCAAATATTTGCACCCTACCATTTGTTTCTTCCCATTCAAAGTAGCGAGACTCAACTAGCCTCGACGTTGCAATTGACGCACTATGCAAGAAAAGCATCTATTGTTACTTTAAACAGAAATGAATTCTCTCAAAAGATAAGAAACTTTAGATATTGTTGTTCTAAGTAATGAGATGTGAGCACACACAGAAAGATACAGAAGTTACAGAAAACTCCCCATTGCCCTGCTGCCAGTAATATGTTACACACTAAAATTTTAAAACTATTGCAAAGTTCTCACCATTTACTGCAGACTAAAAGGGTAATCTTAAAACATTCTTAACAGTTGCATACCATGGTGTTCTGGTAAACAAAGAATAGGGGAAGGAGAGGACTGCATGATCCAAGAATAAATAGAGGTCCATTTCTGACACATCACTTAACTTTTTTTGTGTGTTTATATAAATATTTATTTTTATTTTCCCATTATTTTTTTCTGTTAACTTTAGTATCCGAAGACAGCTTATTCTTGGTCATTTATGTACTCTCTTTCCCCAAGAAACAATCAAAATAATCCTAATGTTTATTATTTCTTTACCTGGCCCACTGGATTCTGAAGAAATCTGGAACTACTAGCTGGCGAAGATTGTTTTCTATCCAAGTGTACATCAACATCTGGTCTTTCTTTGTTGTCTGGTACAGTCTCCAAATTCACAGATTCCTCACTTACATGTGCAAGCAATATTCTCCCCTGAGATGCGACATTTCCAAATCCTAACCCAACATTTGAAGAGGAGACTTGATTCTTTGCAGGACCAGCCTGAGAAACGTCTCCTTCAGATGGCATTTTGCTGGGTATGCCAATAGGTGGGATAGATTTACTGGAAATTTTATTATCCACATCTGGCTCAATACCTACTTGTGGTGAAGAAACAAAGCCCCGAGATCTTGACACACTCTTGTTTGCGTACTTATGATTTAACGAGGCTCCTTTAGCAGCATAGGGATTAGCACCTTTATCAGCATTCCTATTTAGACCTACTGGAGAAGAGACTGGAGGAGGAGGAGGCAGAGAAGCACCGACACCTACTGAAGGGCCAGCATTTACAAGAGGTGCACTCCCAACCTGCGGATGTCCAGCACCAATTGAGAGTCCTGCTCCAATTGGTGCAGAACCTGCACACAGTGGAGGAGATCCTGAACCAAGAGGAGGCCCTACACCAACGGAAGGACCAGCATTACTTGGTGGAACACACGTATCACTATTTTCTGGAGGTGCAACTTCAACGTTTTCAACATCAGGATGGGAGGGATTTAAATTAAGGGTCTCTAGACCAGCAGCAACTTGATCCATGGAAGGAAAGGAAGAACCACCAATATCAAGAGGGTTTTCTACTTTCATTCCTTGACCATGCTGAGCAGAACTCAGTGGGCCTGGTGAAAGCCTACTGAAGTTTTGAGTAGAAGCACCAAGAAATGGTACATCAGGAGTTAATTCATTTCCACTAAACAGGTTGGAAGAGTGAGAGGAGTAAGATGAATCTGGAGCTCCGGGTTGCTTAACATCACCAATTACATGATTCTGAGTTTGCTCTGAGTCACTTCTGAACGGAGTTTCAAAACTTTCTTGACTAGGCACTCCTCCAATGCTCTGAAGAGAGTGATCTGGAGGGATGGATGCCTCGCTTTGTTTATTACTATTATCAGTTGCCTGTGATACCTCGTCTGACCCCTGACTTGGAAGGCTCTCTGTTGACCATTGAGGACTTAAGGCCTCAGTTGATGATTCCCCTCGATGTGACAGCTCTGGAATATCAGAGGCATGTGGTGCATTTCTACTACGCACATCTCTTGGCACTTCCACCCCTTCCCCCGCAGCTGTTCCTCTCACTCCCCCTGCATTAAAAGGGGCAACTGATTGCTCCTCTGGCACCCTCTCCCTAACTACATTAGCAAGTCCTTCAATCTGTGCATGCTGCGAGCTTGGTACACTCTCAGGAGGATGAAATCCAGAAAAATAGGATTGACTTTGATTTGTGTTAGTAGAATGGTATCTATTCTGATCCCCAGTTTGATTATTATTATTATTACTATAAAATAAGTCTTGTCTTTCAACACCAGCATTTTGTTGTCTCACTTCCTTCCTTTCTTCCATAGAATTAAACAGTGTTTGTTGTCCTTGAGCATAAGGATGTTGATTAACAATGGATACTGAATTAAAAGAGTCACTTATCACATCATGTGTATTTTGAACTTGCGGAGGAAACTGCTGATGATAGCCTCCAGACCACATCTGGTGCATGTTACCAGCCTGAATATAATTTGTTGCATTATTAGGCAGCACAGTTTCTTGATATCCTCCTGGTTCTACAGACCAATCCCAAGTAGGATCTTTCTGAGAATTGTTATTGGATGGTTCTCCTCCACCATTGGAGTCTTCCCATCCCCAATTCCAAGGATCTGTAGCTGCTTTTACAGGAGCATTTCTGAAATAAAGATACAAGGCAATGAAAAAAACAATACACCCACTGATGATTACACAAAAGGATAATTTACAAACATAGGGACATAAACATATTAAAATTTAACTAAATTTGTATGTAAAAATGTTCATTAAAATAAACTATTTAAATAATAATATTTTAATAGATTACAGTGGCTTACATTCCTATTATAAAAAAGCTCAACAGAAAATCACAAGTTGCTTAAAGTGACAACATTCAAATAAAAAATTATTATATTCTAAATTTAGATTATTATCCAATCTTTTATAGACTTGTGTTATAAACAACCATCATTCCTGCAATACCATTTAATTCACATATTTCTCAGTTAACCACACAACTATTTTGAACTGAAAATTTTATTTGTTTAACATTTAACTTTAAGGCCTACCATGCATCACTATATTTTAATTTAAAAGATTTTTATGACCAGTTATTTACATAACAAGCAGACTATTAAAAAATAATTATATAAACATAATTAAAATGACCTTGAAAAGTCTATGTAAATTGAGAATTGCAGTTTAAATTAAAAAAGTCTATAAATCATTACAAGTTCCTAACAACTTTTAAGTCATGAAGATTTTACCCTCAGGTTTAAGGACTTCATCAGTTCAATTAAATCATAATGACATATGTGTACAGTGACAACAAGAATGATAACCGTTTTAGGAATCTGAGTAATACTTGGGAACAAATATAAAATAAACTTTATTAAAATAAATTAAAATTTTGAAATTCATGATGACTTATCAACTTCGATATTTTAAACTACAATTCCCACTTTTTATGGGCCATTTAAGAACATTTTAATTGTTGTATTTATATAATTGTTTTTAATAAAGTCTGATTATTACTAAAATTGCTCATAAAAAGTTTTTGCATTACAAGAATAACAGTTGTTAATGATAAATTATTACTAGATTTTTCTTGGTGAATTGGTTAATGCCACAAATTATTTTCAATAAATGAAACTCAAACCATTATTTTACTGTCCCTCTTACTCTTAATCTGATACAAATAGATTTATCAGAATACAAGAATTTCTCCTCAGCACCTTTCTATTTTCTACTACTTTTGAAAAAAAGAATTAATATAAAACACACTCTTTTCAATCTACGTGCTCTGGTGTTAAATATTTCACTATTATGATTTCATGGAAAGTATCTTATTTTAACTGAAATTTTTAGATTGTACCTATTCACTCAAAATAAATCTAATGAAATATCTGGAGATATTATAAAGAACTTTCAATTTAACAGATTATTTTTTTTATTATACCACTAATATTAATTTTGTTTTAAAATAAATGGAAACACTTAATCGTATTAACCATAAGAATGGTTCTTTCTCACAAGTTATTATAATAATGGAGTACCAAATATTATTTAAAACACCCTACTGTATGACTGCACTTCTATCTCCTAAAAGAATTTCTTATATATTTGGGCAATTAACAAAGATATTCACTACAATAACTGCAATACTGAAAACCGATACCTGAAAACAATAACACACAGAAGAGCATAAATGAGCAGGTTCCCATTAGAAGAGATGAGGCATCTATGCCTGTAGATTTTAATCTCTTACAGCCAGAAACTCTGATAAGTGGGAAATGTTAATACATGTTCATAACTTCACCTAGGATTATTGTACATTTTTACTGTTCTCAACTTGACAAACAATGTCAAGTTTAATGACATGGCATATTGGTTAATGATGGGCACTTTACCTACTATCATATCATATGATTAGAGGTACTATGAGACCTACTAATCAGATGATTCGACACACATATCGCCACAACGATGAAAAGCTCAATACAAAGTACACAATGCTCATAACAAATCACACAATTAAGATGACAAGCCAAGAATTCTTATCAAACACTAAACAGGTCACACTGTTTCCCTTCCCCAGAACATGAGGTCATTAGCATACATTGCCTTAGTGCATTTCACAACACGTTACAGAGGGGAAAATAGAAACAAATTTTTGTGTTTTTGCCCTCTTATAGATGAAGCAGGCTATTTCTAAAACGGTATGTACAGATGGGAATTTGTTCTAACGCAACCTTTGTCAAGAATATTTGAGAGTAAAACCAATAAATCATACGTTTCACCATTTGGAAAAATTGTCATTAAAACTTCTGACTTTCCATAAAAAATATTTATCTGGAACTAACATTCTACTATACATGGGAAAACTTTTATAAGCCGGTCTCTAACATGCAGGAAGAAAACACACACAATTTTTACACTGGAATTCTGGTCAGCCCATATTGTTACATACAAATTATATACAATACTCTAATAAGAGAGTTTTCTTAAAACAGGGTTCTGATATATCACTTCAAAGAAAAGATTCCTTTTCTTTCTCATTTGCTCATTCACTATAACTCATTTGCTCATTCACTATAACTACTTCTATTAGTTCATTATAAGTATTCCTTTCTAATGATAACATATGTGACTGTGTTCCAGTGAGAAGGTACCAACAGCAATCTACAAATGTAACTTTGGATATAAACTACTAAAATTTAAATCTAATAGCATATTGAATAAAAAGAGCAACTTATTACTTTGTGTGAATTTCAATGTGTGGCAGAAGACCCCAAGACCACTTCAAGTGTGCATTACTGGGTGATTCAGGTGTTACAATATCAAATGTGCTAGACTCTTTAGCCCTTGCTTATAAATTTGACACCACAATCGCCTAACAAAGTATTTTATTTCGAATTCAGCAAAAGCTGAATTTTGGTACTATTTAAAGGATTTTGAGATATACAAAAGGACAGCAGATGCAGATGATTCAAAATTAGAAACATGACAATCATCTGAAAGCAAAGAAAACATTCAAAAATGACAAATTCTGATAACTCTTTCCCCAATGTCAATTTTAATTTTCAATGAACAATAAGTTAGCATTCCTACAACTTTCATTTATCCCTTTTTAAATGATGGTTAATTTCTTTGATCAGTAAAAGTAGATGGAACTTGAGCTTCCATCCCATTTCCTCAGTTTAACTTCTGATGACTAAATTCATTTCAAATATAAATTGACGTGATTAGCCTGCATGGTTTAAGTAAGGGAATTTAAAAAAACTAAACTTCCAGCAGAACTTTCCCGAAAGGGCTTATAAGGATAACTTCAAATTATTTCACAACCATTCCTACTTACACATTTTGTCAATAGGAGACTATTCAGAAAAATCATTAATAAAATATTCCACAAGAAACATCTTGTTTTGGTGCCCTTTTGACCAGTGTCTGAAGACATATTCACTTATTTAGATTCAGAACTTAACTTTCAAAACTTTTGTGTCAAGTCAATGGCAACATGAAAATTAGTTTCGTTTTGTTCCATAAAAAGGAAGTCTGCTCAGAAATTGATGTATATACCTACTTATACCATACTATGTCAGTTAAGAGGCAAGTTGAGCAATTTTAAATGCTATGATTTTTATTTTACATATTATACTTTTTTTTCTCTTTTTTTCTTACATATTTTGGAAACACTAATACATATATATGCACATGGATACTATCCAATACTTCTAGCACAACAAGCTGTAAACCATACTTCAAAATTCTAGATTCTTCAACTATGTTGTTTATATATACATAAAAGTATTGTACAAATGAAACACGCTTCCAAACAAGACAAATTTGATGATATGTAACCACAACGTAAGAAACACATCAAAATTGTGTTTAACACATCACTGCACCAAAGTGTATGTGTTAAGCAGACTACTTGAACTATACCTCAATACAACACAACAAATACCTCAATATATTAAAGATGCAAGATTCTTTAAAATAATGTTATACACATTTCTGTTGGGACTATTGTTTTTATTCTAAAAATGAATACCTGTCAGCATCAGCTCTACTTGAAAATTAAGTCAGTGCTTTCTAAGAAGCATAAATGTAAAGCATGTTATTAGAAAGTGATTGCATCATTTAATATTTCTGCAATTACAACATGGCAAATATTGTAAATGAGTAATTTATGTAATGTAAACTAAATCAAGACAACAATGTAACTTCATTGTCTGTGCATATCTTCTAGAATTCAGTGGGAAGTATAGTTATTCAAATTATTGTTTCTACATGTTGTTGCAGCAGGAAGTATATTCCTTCCCGAAGGACATGATAAGGAACAAGTCCAAATCTAGAGCTAATTTGTCCTTGAAAATAGATTTTATTATACCGGAGCGAATGTTTTGTTAACAATTCTTGCCAAAAACACTCATTTCTATTTCTATTCAGAATTCAACTTGTTGAATTCTGAATTGTTTCTGAAGGTTAAGGGTATGGATCCCAGAATTAAGAAAATGTGCACAGAACACTCCTTTCCCCATAGCACATCTCACACACACTTTCTAACTCTTTTAGACAACAAATATAATTAAATAATTTTTTTCATGAAAAAATATAATGAACTATTTTTTTACACTATTGTAAATATTTCATAACTCAGCATTTCCTGTTTTGTCTCAATTTCGTATTTATAGTACTGTGATGCTTAGATGTAATATTAGTTATAACTAGCCATTAGTAATAATATGTCTTTAATCAGTATTTAGCTAATTAGAAATAATAAAGCCAACATCAGCACTATTATAAACACAATATTATATGTCTTATATATTTATCTCTGAGTACTACAATATAGCTATGTACTTCATTAATTCAATAAGTCACCAATGTTTCAACCGAGATTATAATAATATAGCATGTAATGTAACAATAAATATAAGTTTTATTTTATTCTGTAACTATAATTATTAAGATGTCTATATATTTACAATGCTTAGGGGTTTCACTTAGAAAAAAATGAGTATTCTACTAAACAAAATTTCATGACTTTTTCTTTAAATAAAAGGTAGACAGCTCTAGAAGCGTTATCATTTGCTCTCATTAACCCTTTTTATAGTAAAACACTAAATTTTAACAATATCTTAAAATTAATAGAATGAATAATTATCTGCTGTTATTTGTTCATCACGTCACTTTTCAAAACTTCTATATTATATGAAGAAGTTTCAATAGACCTATCAAAAGCAGTCAACATTTCAAAGAGAATTGTTAAATGCTACGATTCGTGAGTTTATATTAAGACAAAGTCAATCAATTGTTAGACATATATCATTATAAGAAACGTTATGAGATTATAATTAGGTGTGATGCATTACGCTTTTAAGATACAGTGGTCAGCAGGTATTTCTGCTTTAGTTCACAACCTACCTATACAGATCCAGATAGATCTTTTAATATAACACATTTCAATTACATTTTTAGAAATATGATTATGTAACTCTGTGTTGGCAATGAATAGTGATAATATTGTTCCATAATTCATAAATCTCTTGGTTCATTACACTTGGAAAATACCTATCAAATGACATGCATCTTTGAGATTTTTGATTTCTTTATAAGGCTTAATATATAGTATTTTTCTGTTGTAAATTATTTATATATCTTTCATTTTGCATTTTATTCACAAGGGATCAATGAGTTATTTATTTTCAAAGCAAGTAAAGCTAAATATTATTAAAACATTATTGTCCATCACTCTTAATTAAATAAAAATTCTTTGGTCATTCTTCCAATGAACAGGTTCATGAATAAAATCTTGCAGTTACCAAACAATTATTATCTTTTCAAAAATGCAATGTTTTTAGGACAAATTTGTCCCCATCATACTAGAATTTTTTTTTCTTCTTCCACACTGTACACCCTGTATAATAACAGCAAAAAATACATTTGGCTGCACTCAACACAAGATGATCTGAAACTCAGCTTATTAGTTAAAATTCAAGCATTAATAAAATTTAAATTTGAAAAATTTTGGCAGTTTTCATAAGTTGGATTTTTGACTTTTGAAAACTGCCAAAAAAATTTTATTTGAATTTTTATTCATGTTTGAATTTAAGATAACTTATAATAAGCTTAGTTTCATGTCCCTTTGTGTTGGGTACTGCTTTGTGTTTTTTTGATTTTTATTATACAGGATGTAGTTACGGTACTGAAAAGAAAAAGAGTTGTTCTAGCCTGATGATGGGGACAAATTTGTCCTTGAAATATCTAATTTTTGAAATGATAATAAATGTTTGTTAACTGCAAGATCTTTTTCGTGAAACTACTCATCAGAAAATGGCCAAAGAATTTTCATTTAAAAGCTAAATATAACATACAATGTAAGTAAAAACAGAATGTACCAATTTTATATAATACAGTATATTTCTCATTACTACCCTCCTGCACATTTCACTTCATTTCATCTCATGCTCATTACTATGCACATTTGGAAAGCATTAAAATAAAAGAATAATGTTTGATTGTTTATTCTTCATTAACTATTAAACTTTTCCTCAGCTTTGCCATATTCCAGCCATTTAACATACCAAATTTGCTCCCAATAAATTAGGTCGTAATAACACTTATTCAATAGTAATAATCAAAATTATTTTATCAATTCGCTACTACATGAGATCCCTAATCAAAAAACCTGCAGATAATGAAAATACATTTTGAATGGATCGTACCAATTTTTTTTTGCATCTGACAATTACTCCTTAAATGTACAATAGATGGAAATACTTACAGGTGAGGTGGTGGAGCAGAAAATTGTTGGCCATAATGCTGGGGTACATTGGGTCGGGGTGGATACTGCTGTCGGTAATTCCAATCTCCAGTATTATTAGTAACTCGACGAGCCATTGTATAGCACCAAAGTTACAGTAAATTAATTCTAAAGAAAAGAAAATATAATTAAAAGTGATGTAATCGAAAGTGCATTAATTAAAAATGCATTAACCAAATGTGGGTCACTTCTACTTCCTATTTGGAATTGACTTATGAAAAATGTAACAAAAATCATTTATCAACAAACAGAAAATAACACTCAAATGTAATAATTAAAGCTCTGAACTCTTTCAATAAATATCACAAAAAACAAATACATTATGTCTGAATGTATCTGTGAATATATATTAACATGATAGAAATTATAATTCCATACAAGATATTTTTATGATCCAATTCTTCACATTTCTGGAGAGAGTTGTTTATAAACAGAATTTTTAACTTTATCCAAATGTACATGCCAAATTGAACATATGACAAATTTAGAAAAAATGATAGGATGATCCGATTTCTAAATCTCATACAATTAAAGAATGAATTTATACGCATATTACACTTTTTCACTCTTGACATTCGGACAAAAGTTCGTTCAAAACCGACCTGTAACTTCGCAAATTTTAATTTTACAATCTACTGTCTTCAGTCTTCTTGAAAGTGTCACAATCACAGTCACTTATACAGTGATGTGCTCCAGAGCTGATCAATACTTAAACACTATTTATTTCAACACACATTTGGTACATGGTTAACTGCAATTCACGCTAATTCCGAAACTTATAAGTTATCTTCAACCTCTTTCACAGATGGTTACTCACATATGATTTAACATACCACATACGAGTACTTTGCACATGTTTCATGAACAATATGCTACATTACATTTATTTTGTTGGCCAAGGTGAGAAAGATCATACCGAATAATATTATACATGTCGCATATTCCCATATGTTGACACCCACCCTCCAGCCATTGACGGAGGTTCACGTACTTCACGTACAGTTCACGTCACCGAAATTTCATTGATTCTATGAATTCTCCAGAAGTACATCTTGACGTTCGTAGAGTTCGTGCAGTCGACAAGATATCTTTGTTCTACTCTCGAACTCCTCTTTTCGATTAATCTATTGAAACTACCCCATCTACAAGTAGTTCTCAAAACTAAAGAGAATTCGGACATTACATAAGATAATGAACAGTTTTGCCTGGTTTTGCTAGAGGGAAGGAATGCACAATCTATATTACTAATTTTCAATGCGTGCAGAAATTAAAAAAAAATTATGCAGCCTCCAGACATGTAAAAGGATCTATGGTTTCGTGAGATGCGTTGGAACTTGGGAAAAATAAAAAATAAAATAAATAATACAGTTACTATTGTGAGTGAAAATGTAAGTGCATGACTGTTTTTCGGCATGTTATCATACTGCACGTACTGACAGGATTCTTGATACCAAGTGCATAACTGCTAATGACACAACTCGTGCGACAGCAAGGCGGTAAGAAAGATGCCGACCGCCAATAATTACTATTCACGTGTTTCCTTAGCGAACAACTTCTTCGATATTCTTGGTATGTCGTACTAAATCGTTGTACTGAATATATGGTAAATATTATTTTACTCCAGCATTAGTGAACACTGTTTGTCTTAAAATATTTATTTTATGCGAAAGTATTTTCTTTGTTTTTTCTTGGGCAGAAAGTGTGCTAATTTTGGAAAAACATTTAATATGATTTTGTTCAGCTAATTTTTTCGGTTGCAGACCACTAGTTCTATACTAATAGAAATAAAAATATAAAACAATTACTTGTTTGAACAATAAGTGTCAAGTAAATGTCTCAGAAATAAACTGTTTACTTTATGTAAAAGTCCACAAGATATCAGCACTATTGTAAGTTTCATAGATATTCAATAAAATATTCCAAAGATCGAACATTAAACAGAGCGCGAAATTCAAATGACACAAAGTGAGGATCAAACTGGTTAGTAAATTTCTCAACAAATATTTCTCTCCTTTGGGAGACAATTTTCTTGAAACTAGAATTCATTGTATAACTTTTCAATGACGTAATAATTTCTTTTTGGTTATTTAAACAGAACTCAACACTGGTGATAATGAAAATTGAATAAAATTTAAATTTAAACTAGTAGTGGTTTTATAGAATGACATAGACACTCTCGAATTTCTTAGTTTCTTAATCTCTTTCGAGTACGCTTACTTTTCGGTTTTGCCCCACCCTCTTTCCAGCTAACGATCTAGGAGTCTAAAATACATATTTTCACATTTTCACAATTTTTAGTACCCCTTACAGTATAATTGAAATATCTCCTTAAAAGTGTTATAGAATAGCAAAACATAGTGATAGGAATATTTTCAACCCTTAACCCCTGACTTTAATTAAACTTGGAGCACACCCCCTTGATGATACGGAACACTATCTCTGAAAATTTTTAGAAGGTAATGTTGGTTTGTATAGGAAAATCGAAAAAAAATGTGTAGATTTCGGGGCGCAAGTGCTTATTTGAAACCCAATATCTTCTGTTACATCAAACGTAGGGCAAAAATTTTTATCTCATTGGAAATCTGATATTTATTCCATATAAACGCATATGAATTAATAATTTATTATATCACAATGATAACTACTGTACCGATGAATCCTTCACTAAAAGGTTACAACAAATGCGTTTATTAATTTGTTTAAATGCATGTTGAAGGGTAATGTGGTTTACCTTAGTGGTGAAAATTTGAATTTGCGCTACCTGGCTATCATGAACGGAAGCACTGCTTTCGGGTCCCCGAGATGACCGGCCCTATAGGAGTCCGCGCAAATGTTGATGTTCTAATCATTCTAGAGACAACACAAGCTGCAATTTTTTAATTAAATTTATTTTCTGAAAATGTTTGATGTTATTGCTTCTTAAACAACTCATAATAACATTATACCTTTCTTCTGAAGAAAAAATAGCTTACTCTACCTCATATTATGTATATTGGGGGACAAGTCAGCCACATTCACGTGATTTCAAGGTATATTCGACTTTGATCATTGGAAGTAGCAATGGGAAGGGGTTTAAGATTTCCATTACGTTCATGAGACGCATGTCGTCCCAAATTCAAACTTGTATACAGCTTTTATATAATAAGAACTACAAAATATTTTTTCGTTAGTTTTAAAAACATGCATTTTGTATAAATAAATTTTAAAATACAGTATGTATTGGTTTATTTTGAAACCTAAAAATATAATTTTGCTTCATCAAAATGTGACAAAAAGCCTGGTTTATAAGCTTTAAAATAATATATGAACAATTATATTATCTTTGAAAATTACTGAGATAATTCAGATTTTGTTTAGTAAGGCATGCAGCTATTTCGGGATTCCTTCGAATTTCAAATCATTATACTTGGGAAACTATACTTGCTACAGCCTTCATAAGCGGTCATTTTGGATATTTTACGAGGGACTTCAGGAACACAAAGTTTTAAAAAATCTTAAACGATTAGGGTTGAGACCCTTGTTGATTTGATGTGGAATGACCCTTGATCAACCTTCAGTTTGTGAACGGCTTTGAAAATATATTCCAGGTATGACACTGAAGATGATTTTATTGTGATATGCTAGCATTCACAACGTAAATATGATATAAGAGTAATTATTCATTTATAATAGTATATATTTCAAAATAAAAGAACAAAAACGTTTGTTGTAATTCATTTACACTTTATACATCTACCCTGTTATAAATTAACAATATAATAAAATTTTAAATACCCGATTTTTCTTCTCACCTAATTAACATGAAATTGATTACATTTTCCGCAATATAATGCAAAAAAATCTTCCACGCGAAATTTAAAAAAATCAATGAGAAAAATCATGCCCCTGACGTAATTTTAAAGCAAATTCTTTTTGGCTTCTTTGAGAAGCATAGTTGAAAAAGAAAACCCTCGATCTTGCACTGAAGCAACCACTAACGCTGGGGCTCTGAATTTAGAACAATATGCGAAACAGCTCTAAAGTCTGTTTAGGATGTTTCACACATTGACAAGTCTTAGAATCTATTAAAAAATCTCCGAATTCTTCTCCTCTTCCTTTCTCCTCCTCTTCCACTTCTATCACTATTATGAATATCACCACCGCCGCCAGCACCACCATCCCCGCCGGAGACGCAGGCAACACCACCAACAACAACACGATCACCACCACGAGCATCACCATCCCCGCCAGCACCACCTCCGACGTCAGCACCACCATACCGCCGCAACCACCACCACCACCACCAGCAACGCCACCGCTGCCAAACATCTCCCGCTGCAACGGCTAGCACCGCCACCACCAACAGCTCCAACACCGCCAGCACCGCCACGCTCGCCGCAGCCGCCGGCATCGTTACCACCAGTAGCAACACTCCCGCCGCTGGCACCACCGTCACTGCCAGCACAAACACCGCCAGGATTACCACCACCCTACCACTCTCCCCCCCCCAGCACCACTCCATACTAACACCCTCAGCATCGCCACCGCCATAGCCTGCCATCACCTCTACTCTCTCCCACTATCATCCTAGTCCTCTCACTGTTCATCATCACCCAATCGCTTCATTGAGCATTTCCTGCAAAAGGCAGGAGACCCTTGCCCTCATGGGATCTTAGCTCGCTAATAATAATAATAATAATAATAATAATAATAATAATAATAATAATAATAATAATAATAATAACAACAACAACAACAACACATTATGAGCGGGTGTTCTGCTTTGGCGCAAACAGATTACCTGAGTCGGCACAACGACGTTGCTGCGGTTGTCCATCAGGCCCTGGCTGCAAAGTAGGAGATGATACAAATAGAGATCTCGTACTACTAGTTCAAGCCGGATTCAGTTTTGGAGTCGAAACGGTGGAAGCTCCTTTGGAATGTAGCAGTCACCACTGATCGCAGGGTCGAAGTCAACAGACCTGACATAATATGGATTGACAAGGCTTCAGGGAAAGGGATTATAGTCGGGTTAGTGTCTCATGAACCTTTAGTAGTAGAAGGCAATTGCATGCAGTATCTCTTAATCCTTATCAAGACTCGAGGGCAATTAATTTATTATTATAATTCGTTCCTACATAACAAAATAATGGACAATGGCACAAGGAATAATTATGACCATTTTCAACAACGTTGGCTTTACCGTTCTATTGATAATATTTTAATACCGCTAGACGAAGGAAATCAACCACAGTACAACGCTTGCGAAATAGTAGCAGCTTGTGACTTGTGTTCAAACACTTCCGAATTTTAGGCCAACTTATTTATACAAATAATTGACATCCGGTTATTGACAACCTCTTCCTGAAGCAGACTAATCGTGAGAAAAGTAGTTGTATGAGCATGACAGCTCTTATTCAATTTGAATTAGCCGGGTATGCTGCTCGCGTAATCGAAAGCAGTGCGCTAGGAGATGTCCAATCAGAAGCGTAGCGCGGCTCAAAGATTTCTTCAGTTTGTTTTTAAATCAGTTTTTTTCTTAGAGTGAACGGATGAACGTTCATCTCACTTCAAAAGATAATATGCATGTTCTCGAAAGTGTCATCTTCAGAAATAACTCTTAAATCAAATACTGACTTAGTACAGCGCATTTAATTTTTTTCAAAAGCGCCTCAATTTTTCTTTAAATCTTCTCTTACGAATTGGTGCTAGTTTCATGTCCAACGAACTCTGTACTTTCGAAAAATTTTGAACTATTGAAAAATTTTAACATTTAAAATTACAAAATGGAAGAGTAAGATTTTTGTCCTAAATAAAAACTCATCTAAAAAATCAGCTCTCTAAACAAGATAATGCTCAATTTTTGGAAAGCAGGAGCTTTTGCGTAATTTGTATTTGAACTTAGTGCAATAAAAACATTTTCTCAAAAACCGCTCCAATTGTTTTCTTTACATTCTTTCCACATATAAAACAAGGGACGCTCAAACGTTTGATGCAATTGAATGATACATTTTCTTTGATGGAGGAAATAATAAAAGGGAATTATAGGGGGTATGAAAAGACAAACCCAGTCAACGTCTAGATAATTAGTAAATCTCAATAATTGAAATTAGTTAAAAAATAAAACTTTTTATGTACAACCCGTGTTTACAGTTTCTAATGATCTGGGGCAGCAAAATGCTCAGTCTCCGATCGATCATTAGAATCCTCATAACGACTTTGATGCATAAATATTTCACCCCTTTTGAGGAAGAATTTTGAAAAATCCTTTCTTTGTTACATACATGCAAAAGGAAGCTTTAATCTAAATTTCACACCGAGAGAGAAGGCCTAGGACATCAACTTCAGGGCAGAACGTTTGTTATGCCAATTGCAAATTTCATTAGAAAGAGACTTGTGCATTGGTTTCCTTAGTAAGAAAGAAAAGAAAGAAAATCAGAAGGTTTTCTACCCGTCCGCACTGTCGATTTCCTTCCCAGCTGCGCTGGTGGAAGCCTGTTTCTATCCCAGACCACATCCTTCAGCTCGTGGCCGTGAGGACGCAGGACGTGCTGGCTGTGGTATCCTGCGGAAGAGAGAGATTTTCATCGCCCCAATGGAGTCTTCACGTCTCTGCCTAAAGGGAAATGATCGCCCTCGACAGCGGATGCCTTTCGCCCAGAGTCTGCAGCATCCACCACTGCCATTTCGTCCGAGTTTGCATATGCGATATTTGAATGAAGAAGACCGTTGTTAGTGGATAACCATTCCACTGCTCGACGTTTTATCAAGGGAGAGATTTGCTTAACCACTAGCGCAATTCGTCCGTCTTGGCTCTTCTCACCGTGGACAACAAATCTATTTCTCTTGTCAAATAAGATATTCATTCAACCTCCAGCGCTACTCGTCCTTCTTCGCTCTTCTCTCCAGGGAGGGGGAACCTTAGTGGACAACCAATCTTCTTCTCGTGGTCTTGTCAAAGAAGATATTCATTCAATCTCCAGCGACACTCGTCCGCGATGCTTTCCCTCACAGGCCTCATACTGACGCTGGCGCTCCTGGTGGTGACAGCGGGCGAACTAGAAAATAAAAAGATTAGATTGAACAAGTGCTGCAGCATACGCAAGATGCTCTCAGCTGACGGACAGTCGTGCATAGAAGCAAAGTGGACGCAGAACTTCTCAATCAAAACAAGTGACGGTTATGTTGTCCATCCTCTGGACAGTGAGTGGATGGGGCGCTGGCTACCGCCCGGTCTCCCACTGCATTACATCCGTGACGTGAATTTAGGTAAACCCGTGAGTCTTGCTGTTGTCTCCTCCGTGAACGCGTCATCCTTGTGGAATCCAGCTTTACCTCTAAAGGACGGCCTCAGAAGCAACACACTGGTTTTAATTCAAGAGCCTTCCATGCCCCTGTATGGAAATTTGATCGCGAGGCCTAAGCCGGGAGGGGGCTTCAGAAGGGCTGTCTTCTGTGTAGACGCTGCTCCGCCGCCTCTGGGGCCCTTTGCGGTGAAGTTTCACACGTACTGCAGTGAAGTGGAATGCGCACGTAAGTGCTGCTGGAAAGGGCATCTGCTGAATTATGAAGCAAATTGGCGTTGTGAACATGATGACGAACACTACTGGACGCCGAATAAGTCCTCCCTCGCAGTCTTCGATCCGGAGTTTCCCAGCAAAGAACTTTGGATCTCCTGGTACGAGCGCCTTCGTGTTTTGCCCTACGAGAAACGGTACGCTGAATCAGCTCGCCAAGGTGATGGTATGCACCACTTCCACTTTTCCACGTGGAGACTTTGTTTCACCATCTACCGCAGTAGCAACGGCAGCTACATCGAAGGGCTCTTCTTTATCGAGTTCTCACGCATCACCAGAGGCGTTTACTGGCTGCTCCGCCCTATATGCTTCCTCTCTGCATTGCTGTTACTAGTGTCGTTGCTATCTGTAGCATGCGACAAGAACATGCGACGAAAAATACACGGTCGATGCCTTGTTAGCCACGCAGCCTGCCTGTTGGCTTTCAATATGGGACAGATTGGATATTTCATCGGAATTAGTGACTATTTGGACGAAAAAGGAAAACAAGACATACCGCCAGATCTTCAGAGTGTATGCAAGTATTTCGGTGAGTATATTCATATAAGACTCGCATTTTACAGAAAGTGAATGTTTAGATTATTTATAGTCTCTTTATCAAGACATTGTTTGGATGTGATTGTTAGTTTCTTGTGATGCAACACACGTCATTGACACATTTTATAGTCTGATATTAATCCTTAAATGCTCTCGTGACTCAGTGGAGAAGTCGCTTGCCTTTCACCACTGAGGTTCCGGGTTCATTCCCGTAGAATCCCCGTAGATCCTGTGAAATTTGTTACTACAAAACGAGTTAGCGTGCTTCACAGGGGCTAGTCTAACTTCTGCACAGCGCCCTAAATCTTACCCCTATCCTTATCCCTTACCAATTCCGGCCGATAGGTAGATGACGCAGGGCGCGGGCACGTGCGAGACACGAGCGCGAAGACGCTACCTCGTATCATCCCTGACTTGACTGCGAATGACGTGACTTGACTACCCAGCGGCCCCTACAGGGTGCTGGGTGTATAATAAAGGGGGATTACTTCTACAAGAATTAACGGAGGATTCCTCCACGATGCTCTCAAAGCTCCTAGGAGCTAGGAGACGCGTTGTGTGTATATAGACGCAACCATTTTTTAAATCCTTACTACCGCATTTCCCCGACGCACAAAGTATGTACAAAGTGGACTTACGCATCCGCAAAGTGTACAAGAAACCTCTTAGCGTGCAAATCTTGTAATGCATCATCTTGTAACGTCTATTTGTGAACAACACTAGCTGTAAAACCTTTGGCAGAATTTTCAAGGGGGTTATTATTCCTCAAACGATCTGGCTGATATCGAGGGCAGAATTTACAATTGTTTTCGCATTTTTTCCTAATCCCACTTCTTTTAAAAATGTTAAAGGAGAATGGGGCTAAAGTGGACATTTTCCCTCCCCAATGCTATAACTTTAATTATTTCTTTAATGTAAAGTACATTGTTACATAACTTAGTATTTCATATTTTCTTTTCTACACCAGTAGTTTTAATATTTCCCTTGGAAGATAATGTGGATAACGCGTGGGGATAATGAGGATACACAAAACAGTTATTTTTTCATGAGTATTTTTAATATACTCTTACTTTATACTCTTATATTATTTTATTAGAAAGTGCTCTGAAAGCTTATCCATGCAATGTAAAGCATCCTTCACTATTTCTTCACTAGATCACATTTTGAGTTTTTCTAACATACGTTCTGATCAGTATCAGTGGCGTCTCCTGCTCAGTAAACATGGGAATGCGATCAGTTTTACGGATTAAACAAGGTAGATCAATTAAGGTATCTAATCGTCATCGTACTATACAGTGTTTATGTATTACATATTACGATGCATATGCCTTTTCTATATTCCTTGAGAATTGCTAATTTTGCATTCTTTGCTCTGTCAATAATTTCAGGGGCGGATCAAACAAGTACAAATATAATATAAATTATAAACAAGGTAAATTATTTATCA